CACAGACATCTTGCCGGTCAAACTCATTTACCCGGACTGGGTGGGCGAACCATGTACGATTCTTCCCAACAGCAGGCATCGCTGGTACTACAAAAGCTTTCAAACACCAGAAGAGGTGATGCTTATCAAGTGTTATGACTGGAAGGTGGATGGGCGCGCTCGCAGGGTCCCGCACGCCGCATTTACGGATGCGGAAATGGTTGACAAAGACCCAAGACAGAGTATCGAGGTTAGAGTGCTTATTTTCCATGAGGAAGACAAGAGTAAAGTCTAGATAAGTAGATTCCCGTTCTATTCCATCGCTCTTGAAGTTCCCGCCTTATTTGGCCTATTTCGCTTCCGTCAACCTGGCAATCAGAGCAACGAGGGCCTTCGTCGGTGAGCACAGATGAGCCGCAAAATCCCAACGTCCATCCATGTGTGCTAGAACTTTCGAGCGGCTGATGCATCGAGTCACATTACAATGAGTGATATTCCCCAAACATTGGAGACGTAAGTCATCCGCCAAGGCTCTCCTCGCTAATGAGATTAAGTCGTTGTATTTCATGTTAGCAAAAGTTAGTTAGTAAGTGTGTGAATATATCAAATTTTTTGGTGCCACAGACGGTGCATCAAGAATCACACCAGCTGTCCTAATCCCGCTCTCGCAAAGCGCAATACCTGTACCCTGCCAGATATTGCACCTTTGGTCTCATAACTTATTGATGCCCAATAAAATTCACCTACACTACTAAGGGCCTGAGGTCTTGACAAATGGTGGCCCGAGCATTCGACTGTCGGGATTCGCCCGAAGTAGTAACCCGCCGAAAGCCACCTATGAGCATTGTGCTTTTTACTTTAGCCTTGTGATTCATTTCCGACGTTGTGTACGTCTTCTGTCTCATTCGTCTGGCTTTCAGTCTGTCCAGTTAGTTTACGATTCACAGTACCTCTTTATTTCAATATGCCGAATCCCGAGTCACTGCCTGACAGGGTTGCTGAGGAGAATGCTCCTTTGCGCGTCATCTCCCTCCAGCAACTCGTCGATGGAGATGAGGTGTGCCGTGAGCATTTGCTGAAAGCATGTACCGATCTCGGGTTTTTCTATCTTGACTGTCGGGAGGTTGCTTCTGGCCAGGTCATGGCAAATGTACAATCTATGTATGACCTAGCTATAAGCTTCTATGATCTACCTCAAGATGAAAAGATGGCGTGGCTTGTGGACCGGGATCATGATGAGCACTTAGTCATGGGGTCAGTTCGATCTCCTACTAGTGCACTGCTTTTGTCAATCTGACGATGGGTTGCCTTCTGCTGCAATAGATACAAACCAGCAGGGCATGGCAACGGGCCAGTCGAAGGAAAGAAGGACGGGTTCGAAGGGCTTATGGTGAGGCTCCGTTCAAATTCCAACGTCTCGTACTCCAATTCATATGAGCAAAACCTGACTTAAGAAGCTTTTCGAACATCCAATCTCGAAGATCAGCGATCTTTCGACATTTCCAGGACCTAGTGTGATCGCAACACAGCTCGACGTGTTGAAAAGTGCTACAGCAAACTTCCGGGAAATCAGCATTCTCTTACTGTCTCGACTTTCTGCCGCTTTGGGTTTGAATGAAGAGCTTGCTTATCAGCAATATCACCGTAAAAACGCCGTTTGCCCAACAGCCTTGGGTCTTCTCAAGTACACCCTCGCAGACGTTGAACCTGAAAAAGTGGGCCAGATTGCTCATACTGATGCTGGAAGTCTCTCAATCGTCTTCACCGAGGTTGGTGGTCTCCAGGTTCTAAAACCGAATGAGGATCAGTGGTACTACATTGCGCCCAAGCCCGGGCACGCAGTTGTGAACGTCGGCGATGCGCTTCGCTTCATTTCTGGGGGACTTCTGGAGTCGAGCTTGCACCGCATAATTCCCCACAAGGACGAAGTCACGCGTCACAAGTATTCTATTGTTTACCTCTTGCGACCTGAAATGGATGCAGAGTTCGTTGACTCGGAAGGTGTTACTTGGAAGGGCCTCGACTGGACGAACAAGAAACATGCCGTGTTTCGTGCAACAGCCGAGGAGCAAGCCACGGGGACTTACTTGACTGGAAGAGAAGGATATGTTGGCTATTGGGATCCGGAGGTGGATAAGGAGAGTGAAACTATCATGGTATAGTCGGGGATCAGATGGCGTAACTACTCTGTCCTGCGTTCGATCGATAAGAATGGCATGATTTAGGGCATCAAGAACCGGTGTGATTATCGTATATTGAAAGAGTACTCAGACAACCCTACCTCATTCACGCGATCCGTGGACTTCAATCCCAAGTTACAGGCGACAGCGGAAGGCCAAAATCCTGGAATTTTCGCTTTCCTATTTTCATTTTGCTTGATCCGTCTCTTTCCAGTATGCCAAATGATTGCAGAAGTAGAAGCCCTCTCAGCTTGAGTTTCTTGCCATAGGTTGCCGCCTGCTTCAATTGGCAGTGACATCCTGCCGTTTGGTGGTTGTTTCGTTACGTGCACTAAGGTACTTCGCAAGCATTTAAAGCTGTGTTTCTGATTGAATAGGGAACAATGATTTATCACGAAAGCAGGCACATGGGACTTTCCCATTATCCGATACCTGATACATATCATGAGATGAAGTAGCTTATAAATATGGCTTGAGGGCTTTGACAATTATCAAGCGAACCATCATATGGAGATAGATATATATTACAATGTCTTGCATTCATTCTTGCCTGACGTATGTTTAAACTAAGGTACTCGTAGATAGAGAGTGCCTCTAGCTTTGAATAGTATCAAATGGGATTTGATTTCCTCTTGCTTCGGAAAAAAGAAAAGCAAAAACCAATGAATTCGATCAAGGACAGATACTGAAATCTCATATGAACACCAAGATTATCAGATTATTAGAAGCCAGTGGCATCAAAAACAACGGGAGCTGTCGACAGCAACCGAAGAAAGGAAAAAAAGATTTTGCTAGTATTTTTTGTGTCACCTATGGAACAAGAGCTAAATCGCTACCGAAGGATTACGAGATAAACTAGAGATGCCGAAAATGGCAATACTCCGAACCGAACCTCAAGGCACGTCTTGGAGACAGATCGAATGCACTCCTCCCTACGATAAGGTAAGAGCTCTACACTCCACCTCTCAGTCACATACGCCCAAGACCTGATTGAAGGCTGAAGTCAAACCTCCACTCTGTCGCTCGACCTTGCAGCTGTGACGACATTTGCCAGCACCTTCGCCACAACTTCGCAATGACTACACTCAATATCAAAGAAACGGACATCCCGAGTTTGGAAGGGCAGACTGCAATTGTTACGGGTAAATAACTTTGAGTCATTCCACTTGGTTCTCAATACTAATTACCATGAACACTTTAGGTGGTTCGTCTGGAATTGGATTGGCCACTGCAAAGATCCTGGCATCTCGAGGAGCTGGCGTAGTGATTCTCGATGTCTGCCAGCCCACAGAGACACTGCCATCATCTGTACAATTTCGCAAATGCGACATCAGGCGCTGGCTTGAGCTTTCCGATGCGTTCTCTCAGATAGGACGAGTCCATATCGCGATTGCAAATGCGGGAGTAGATGAAGACGGAACATATCTGAACGATGCGTACAACGACAATGGCGACCTGCTCGAACCAAATTACGATGTGGTTGATGTAAACTTCCGAGGCACTCTGAATTTTGTAAAACTTGCACTTCACAGCATGAAAAGAAACGGCGTACAGGGAAGCATTGTGCTGACATCAAGCGCCACTGCTTACTCCCCGGAACAATCACTCCCTGTATACAGTGGGACAAAGGCTGCAGTAAGTAGAACCTGACCGAGCATAAATACAAGACTAACTAAATAAGCTGATCAATTACCTGCGTGCGATGCGCTCGAATTTGCGAGACACTGATATTACGATCAATGCTGTCGCGCCAGCCGCAACTATCACCGGACTATTGCCGGCGAAGCTTGCTGCTCCAATAATGACTGCTGGCTTGCCAGTGAGCTCTGCGCATTTCGTGGGGCTCGCAGTGGTGTACTCCGCTGTTGCCACGGAAGCCAAGAAGGTTCAAACATATGGAAAGGATACTGCCGAGTGGAGAGAAACGAGTGGCCGTTGGAACGGCAGAGTCATTCTTACGTTGGGTGAGAGGTACACCGAGTTGGAGGAACCTTTGGCGAATTGTCGTAATACATGGATTGGTGCGACAAACTTGCAAGAGACTAGGTTGCAGCAAGCTGCAACAGATTTCAGAAGCTGTCTGTAATGAAAACTATACTCCATAGTCCTGTCCGGGCACGTATGTCTAGATCGAGTTCCCCAACCCGTCAATCTTCCTGTTTCTGGCGGCAGGCCTGGAAAAGTAGCAATGTGATGCTCTAAGCCATGCTTCTCAAATTCTCAAATCTCCAATTTGGGAGCACCAAATGCTCTCCAATTCCACATATGAAACATATTGGGGGCTCAGCCAACTCAAAGCCAACAAACTTTGGAGAGGATCAACCGTCATTCATCATACCTCACATTTACTAAGAGTTGATTGCAACTATGAACTTATTGTCCCTTTGCCGTGAACATGACATTAGACGTGATGTCAGCCACGAACAGGTAATGACGCGTGAAATCATCTCTACTTCTGCGTCCAGGAAGAATCATGGTGCCTTAGGGCCTTCGGTCTAACCAACTGCCTCAGCAACATGATACCCAACATCGCGTGAGAGATCATTTTCGTCACTTTTCATAGTACTTTTACTTGCTTGATTGGCCAATTTGTTTTTCAAAATCGACTGGATATCAAAATCAAACTTGCACGGCTTCAGACAACTTCGATCCGGGCGCAGTATTCCTCTTTCATCCCGGGAGAGTGGAGTTAATGGTTCTCTGTCGGCTGCCGGCCTCGCTTTATTGCCCGATTTGTATGAAACCCGAGTCGCGGTCTCCTCGCAAAGTTTCCCAATCTATCCCTTGGTGGTCAATGTGTGTGACCCACACGCCCAACTAAGGTAACAAGATCATAGATCAATGGTAAATACTTTCGTCTCAAGTACGGCACCTAGGACAACTGCGCTAGAAAGGGTTCTGACGTAGCATTTAACTTGTCTTCGGTCACCAATTCACCCCTCTCAGTTCGTTCGAGATCCATCCACTGGCGATCCTTCTACCAGCGTCAAAATGATTTCCCTACATGCGTTGGCGTCTTTTATCCTACCTGCTCAGTCAACGTCGCTGAAAGTTTTTGACCAGCCAGCCAAATCTGGTCAGAGGTCTTACAATCCTAGCGAGCCGCCACCTGCGGCGCGGTTTACCGCCAAGATACACCCTCGAGAGCGAGAGGTTTCGGCGGAAGTGAACGGGTTTTTCCTCAATCACTGGCCATTTGCAGATTCGAAATCCAGGAAGAAGTTCGTGGCTGCGGGTTTCCCACAAGTCACCTGCTTCTACTATCCTACCGCGTTGAACGACAGGATTTCTTTCGCCTGTTATCTTTTAACGCTTTTGTTCTTAATTGATGGTGAGTGACGCTCTTCCAAAAGCTTGAGCAACAGACCAATTGAATGTCTTGAAATGCTTTCATGGCCAAATCTGCTAACGCTGTGTTATGATAGATCTCTTGGAAGACATGTCTTTTGAAGCAGGCTCTTCCTACAACGAGAGACTCATACTACTCTCCAAGGGGGAGTCGTTGCCAGATCGCAGTGTCCCAGTCGAATGGATAACTTATGACCTGTGGAATGATATGAGGACTTGCGATGAAGTCCTTGCCAATGAGATCCTTGAACCAGTATTTACGTTCATGCGCGCTCAAACTGACAAGACGCGACTACAAATCAAGGAGTTGGGGCACTATTTGAAGTATCGAGAAAAGGACGTTGGCAAAGCGTAAGTCTACTCGGATATCTTTTATTCCCCTTTTGTTCAAGAATTCACAATGTCTAGATTGCTATCTGCTCTCATGAGGTTTAGCATGAGCCTGCATCTTAGCCCTGAAGACCTGAGCTCGGTCGAAGATATTGAGCTTAACTGTTCAAAACATATCTCTGTTGTCAACGATATCTATAGCTGGGAAAAGGAGTTGAAGGCTTCCCAGATAGGCCATAAGGAAGGATCCGCTTTGTGTTCATCCGTGTCAGTCTTGACTTCGGAGACTAGCCTGGACTATTCGGCGTCGAAGCGCATATTGTGGATAATGTGTCGCGAATGGGAGCTTCTTCATAGTAAGCTGGTCACTAGTAGAATTTCTAGTGCTGCGGGCTGTGGTTCTGACTTGCAGGCGTTTATGAAAGGCTTGGAGTATCAAATGAGTGGGAATGAGGCGTGGAGCAGCATTACACCGAGATACCATTCGATTTAGATCAACATTGTACATGGATTCGAAACGAAAAAACAGTTCGATCACGATTTCCTTTACAGTTCAACGTCGGATCCTACTTCAGCTTCGTTACTCTAGAATAATTTGTTGTGGTATCTACTTCACCTGCCTCACTTAAAGTCTTGTATACAGTAGTCTACATTTGAACTTTGTATGTATGATGTTTTGTATGACAGCCTCTATTTTTCATCCGCGAGATTACAACAGTATAAGGCATATGACATACTGAGAGACGCCATGCATTTGCTTTTCGGCATCGATGTTCCCTTTCCAGTAGCATAGACTCTATTTCTGTCCAAGTTTAGAGGAACCTACGATGGAGAAGCATCAAGTCCTTTGTCGTGCGAGCCACTGAGATGGTGTAAGAAAAAGGCTCTCAATGAACGTTTTCATGCTAGTTCTAGGCTAAATATGTATAATTTGTAAGACCGGGTAACTCCTTATGCCTTTCCATCTAATGTAGCTCTCTTTCACCAGTTTCCAATTGCTGTCTGACGTCCAAGCGGGACGTTGGCTTTGGACAAGGAAACATCTGCGTCCATAAAGTCGGCGCTGTCGATGGATGCAGCGGAAGTTGCACCACTAATAGCAGCCGCTAGCTTAGCTTCCAATCGCTCATCATGAACGTGGACAATGTCATCCGGGAGCCGTGCCAAGGCTTGGTCAAGATCCTCGATAATATCTCGAACATCCTCTGTTCCAACTGAGAATCGAATGAATGCCTGCGCGAGATCACATCAGTCAATGCAACATCAACAGTTGATTTAATATATGATACTCACCGGGGTGATTCCAGCCTCTCTTCTATCCTTCTCGGACATGATGACATGAGTGGAATTCCAAGGGTGAGTGGCCAGAGTCTTTGAGTCTCCAACACTATTGCGTACGATTTAGTAAATCCTCTGTTCTTTAATAATGCTGATCTTTACTTACTTTGTTTGATGGGATATAACCTTGACAAAGTTCATAAGCATCTTGCTAGCGACGTCTCCTCCCTTAGGGCCAAATGAAAGGACGCCGCCGTAACCATTTCTGAGGTACTTTTTGGCGTTGTCGTGATACTGATTCTTTTCCAGGCCTGGCCTTTTTGTTAGGACATCCAAAAGATGATTTTGTGTCGACACATTGAACGTGCTAACTTACCGGGGTAGTTGACCCATGCAATTCTTGGATGTGATTCCAAGAATTGAGCCACAGCCATTGTATTTTTGGTGTGTCTCTCACAGCGTAGACTCAGTGTCTCCATCCCGATGAGCAGCTGCTGTGCTGAGGCTGGACTCAGTATTGACCCAACCTCCATCAAGATGTCAATCCTCATCGCCATCGCAAACGAGATATTGCCGAAGGCTTTCCAGTATGAGAAGCTCATTGGGCCATCTTTCTTGATCATACGAGGAAACCGGTGACCCGCTGCACCCCAGTCGAAAGTGCCACAGTCAATGATGACTCCGCCGACGGTGGTACCATGACCACCCATCCACTTCGTGGCGGAATGCAAGATGATGTCGGCGCCAAATTCAATAGGGCGGCACCATGTGCCACAGGCTCCGAATGTGTTGTCAACCTTTCACTGTGTCAGCTTTTGGGATTGGCCCTTCGTTATAAGTTTCTTGCTACTTACCACAAATGGAACGTGGTTCTCATGTGCCACATCTGCCAATCCCTGAAGATCGGGAATGCTGCAGCGAGGATTTCCAATACTTTCGACGAAGAGGAGCTTGGTATTTTCATCAATGTGTTTGGCAAACTCTTCTCTGGTCTCTTGTTTGGCCCACTTCACAGTGATACCAAGTCGCGGAAGCAGTGTCTTGAAAAGGCTGTAGGTGCCTCCATATAAGTTGATTGAGGCCACAACATTATCACCGGCTCCTGCTAGGCCGATGATTGTGTTGAAAATTGCTGCCTGTCCTGAGGCTGTGGCTACAGCAGCAGTGCCTCCTTCCAAAGCGGCGGCCCGTTTTTCGAAGACTGCAACCGTTGGCTGCGGATAAGGTTCAGTAAAATGGAGACAATTCCCAAGATAACAGGCATGAAAGACTTACGTTCGATACTCTACTGTAGAAGTAGCCTGCTTCTTGGGTGGCACACACCCTTTTGGCATGCTCACTATCTGTGAATATGAATGACTGAGATAGTATTTGAGTTAGGTAATTGACCATGGCCCATCGGGGATAATCAGATATAAAGGCTCACCACGCTGTTATAGATTGGGACTGCCCGAGCATGTGTTTCTATGTCCGGTCGGTGTCCTCCGTGAACTTGAAGAGTGTCATATCGAAGGCCGTCGTCAAACTTCTCGACTTTGTAGGGCTGGAAAGCATCGTGCCCCTCAGGTAAAACGCTAAGAGAGACAGGGGTTGAGCTCGCCAACGGAATGTCATGGATCGGTTCTCCCATGGTGAGAAGATGGTTTTGAAATTGATGTTTTGGAGAAATGTCGGACAAGTTAGAGCTGCAAGTGATAGATATCTATACTTCAAGCCTAGTATTGTCCGGGTGTTCACTAATGGTGTTGCTGAGATCTCAGTCATTCTCATCCGGGCTTCGGCTGCCTTCCCTGTTGGGAGTTGTGGCGGCCGACACCTCGGAACTCGCATACTTCGGGAAAAGCCCGAGCCCAAAGATTCAAACCTCGCAAGCTCCGAGCGTTTGCCAGGCAGTATCCGCGACGTATAAGCCGATTTTGCCAAGCGGTTACGGTTTCTCAAGCGCGCGGTTCGATCCAGATTTTCATGAAGCCATCAATACATCGCGATGAAATCGTTCTTTGATCTCGATAGCCTTCTATTACGGCATTATGCTCACGACTATACCAATGGAAACCACGGCTTGGCCATGACCTTTTTGGGTCTCACTGTAGGACTGATCGTTTTGTTATGCGCACTCTTGCCAGACAAACAAAAACTCGTTCCTGGTGTTCTAGTCGTGGGTGGGAATGCTAAATACAGCATCAAGGCAAATCGAGAGCGGTTTCGCCAAAATGCAAAAGAAATGCTTCAAGAAGGGTACAAGCGCGTATGTTGCCTCCTAAAGAACAAAATACCTGAGTCATTCTTACAGTGTTTAGGCGAAAGGCGACTTCTTCTACGTCCCCAGTCCACTAGGAGAACGTCTGATGATTCCCTCGAAGTACTTAGAGGAGCTCAAGACGGCCCCAATCGACCAGGTAGACTTTGTTGCTACGTTTATCGAGGTAATGAGATCATCCTTCTACTAAGTTAACTCATTCATGATGATTCTAATGCCGGAAAGATGTTCGAGGGCAAGTACACCACTATGGGGAGTAGGTCGACACTGCATCCTCGCGTTGTTAAGGCGCAACTGAATCATCATCTCGGTAGGTGGTTCTACATAAGTCATGAGAGTTGATATGATCTTTCTAACAAATTTGTAGCCGACGTAATGCCGGCAGTGCAGAGAGAAATAGTTGACGCATTCAATGACACATTTCCTGCTTGTGAAGGTTTGCAATAATTATGGCCTTGACGAATGAGTTTTCTCCGCTAACCCGAACAGATTGGACGCCCGTCCCTGTCGTGCACACATTGACGCAGATTGTGGCAAGAGTCTCGAGTTGTATGTTCGGTGGCACCACTCTATCTCACAATCGAGAATGGGTACAATCATCTATCGACTTTGCCATTGACGGCTTCATTGGCGCTCAGAAGCTGAAAAGATACCCCGAGTTCCTGAAGCCACTTGCAGCTCGTTTCATTCCGGAGATTGCCAAGATCGCCGGCCATTACGCTGCTGCAGAAGCTGCAGCTATTCCACTGCTCGAGAGTCGCCTTCGCACTGGAGATAAAGCTGAAGATCTTCTATATTGGATGGCCGAGCAGGCGAAAGGCGAAGAACGTGACATGGCATTCCTGGCCAGTATTCTCTTGAAGATAAGCTTTGCTGCGATACACACGAGTGCAGCTGCACCTGCACAGCTCATTTACGACCTATGCGAACGTCCTGAAATCATTGAAACATTGCGGGACGAAGTCGAGAGCCTTACTGGCAACGATGATTTGATAACAAAATCGGGCTTCTTGAAAATGGTGAAGATGGACAGTTTCATGAAAGAGAGCCAAAGATTTAATCCTCTACTTCTAAGTACGTTCACCCCAACGAGTTCTAGCCTTTCACAGTGGTCACCTAATACATCAACGTGTGCAGTCACATTCGAGAGAGTGGTTCACCGGCCTTATACACTATCCTCCGGGTTCACAATTCCAGCTCATACCACCATTGGGATTCCAACGCAAGCTATCACAATGGATGAATCTTTTTATCCGGACCCCGAAACTTTCGATGCGTTTCGCTTTGCCAGGATAAGAGAAGAGCGCTCAGATATGGACGGTCGCGCCCAGTATGTCGCGTCGAATCCGACATCTTTGAGTTTTGGTTACGGGCGCCATGCTTGTCCAGGACGCTTTTTTGCGGCTCATGAGATCAAGGCCATAATGGCCCATCTGTTGAAAAATTACGAGATGCGATTTACACATGGACAGGGACGCCCGCAAAGTGTACGAGCGGAAACACAATATCTACCGGACCCATGGGCGACTGTGGAGTTCAAGAAGAGACTCTAGAGCGAATACTTAGATAGTTTTAGCGTGGCAATGAACCGCTTGGAGGTGCACTGAATGGAACCGGCTAATCGTCTCAACGCGTTTTCTTCTTTTTCCAATGTGTCACCCACTACAAGTTCACTCAAGGAGGGCCCAACCTAAAGCCGATTTATTTCTGAGAGAACAAGCTCCAAGTTCCCAAGCAATTTCTCATCATACACTGGCCTTCGAGTGACTTCCTGGAATCTAGATATCCACCCACTGACCAGTGGTCTGAGTTTTCTGACAGCGTAAGGGAGCTCCGTGCTCGAGTCGTTGCGATAACAAGTCTGTCGCATGCACGCCACATCAGACAGTGGCAGCAGCCATTGTGTCACGGCTGGACTCCAAATTCTCAACGGGGCAAGAACAATCTCCATCGGAACCTTTCCGTGTTGGGTGTGTCCGATTTCTCTTCCTGTACGCAGTACGTACTGCGACAGATATGGCGAGGAACCTTTTGACCACGTGTACCAGACCATGTCTTCTTAGCTATTGTGGCCGTTCCCTGGAGAATTTCTGCCACATAGCCAACTTTTACTTTAAGCGGCATGCATAAGCCGTTGCTCTGGTGTAGCTGACCCCAGAATGTGTTGTAACTGAAGTGGATGCGCTGTAGGGTAGTTGAGCCGGGGAAGCCGCACTCATGAACCCCAGCAGCGCTTGGAAACAGCCCTAGTCATAAGGTGTGAAGTGGCTACGGCCTGTGCATAAGATGGAGGCAGAGCGGGCGTCTGGACAACTTCTATAACGTGTGCGCAATGCATATTAATGTTGACTCGTGGGCATACTGATACGCTGGCGAATGACCAAGATCTAGGCCTCTCGGCGACGTTCCATTTTAGCAAACTTGAGGCTGACACAGCTGTTCAATCTCAGGGTGTGTTTCTCATTGATGGAACGCTAGACCTGTTACAGTGCTCCGGCGGTTGTGGCTCATCAAGCGTAACACTCGTATGTTTAAGCTTCTGCGAATGCATATGGGACCGGGGAAGTCAGAAATAAGGTTTCGGGCTTGGAAACCTTGAACCCGTCTTGAAGCCAATACATCCACAATTGTTTTGAAGTCCAATCAGATCTTCAATTCGAATGACTCGCTCTCCCGGCTGTTGCCAGGATTATCGGCTAATCTACGGGGAAGAGGTCCTTATAAGAAGAAACGGTCCGATCATCTTCGGATAGATCATCGGGTAGCGGCTGAGACCGAGGCCAGGAGAAGGGAGACTCTGCAAAAGCTTGGCGAAATATGTCCGTAACCCTGAGGTAACCAAAGAAAGTGGTGTCTGTAATCCCGAGGCGGGCAGAGGTTGATTAGTCAACGTAGGTGTATTTTGCACTCGTTTGGCTTTCGAGTCAGAATATTCGATTCATCTCATGATGTGTATTTCAAGATTCCGCTTTCTTGTTCGAAGATGTAGGTAGAAGAAGCTGCTCAAGATAGAAAGTAGATACGTCTCATGCATGCCCGCTCAAAGCTTCTTGTAGCTCCTCGAGACGGAGACAGATGGGCCGTAGCGAATTCTGGTGTGGCGCCCACCTCTGTCTGTCAACTGAATTGCGCAAAGATTCCAAGAAGCCTCCAAGCTGCCGTACTTGCAGCAGAATCAAGAAACCAAAAATCTCGCAACGTTCATGGACAGTATCAATCTGATACTGTCCCAGTAATACAGGAATCCAACGGTGTGCATGTCCGTATGCCTCAATTCTCCCGTCATCTCCGAGATTTGAGGCTTGAGAAGCACATTCCCACACAGATGCAATATCCTCTAATATAGCCATAATCTTCTCGGCTAGCAATATTGAGAATGTCATTACCCTAGAACGATTCCGGCACGAAGAGCAATGACTTATAGATCGGCATTGGGTTATCGACTTTTTAAGCAGATGTAGGGAGGTTTCCGCCATGCAAAAGGTTGTTACTTTGCTCTGCGTCTGCATTTTTTCAAGCAAATTCAGCGTTACGCCAACACAGCGGCAAGGCGCTGTGGCTGCGATGCTCGTCTGTGACCCCGGCCCAGTGATTGGGCTGCCATGGCTACGGTTAACAAGTAACGGACTTGGGGCATTTAAAGGAAAGCTGTGTGGGTGGTGGTGAGGGGTGAAAGGCACCGTGGAGCTGATACCGTGCGATGAGAGACTAGACGGCGCCCGTTTAGGGGCAACGAAATCATGAGAGATATCATGAGAGGTGTCATCCCTTGTGTGATTGCTCTTGGACCGCTGAATAGCATTCCATTGAGAATCATCTACATCCACTTAGCATCAATCATTTGATCTAGACAATGGCGGAAGCTTTCAGAAGCAGTATTGCGTAGCTGAAAGCTGGAGAGCTCTAACTCACCTGACGATGAGCTGCTTCTAGCAAAGCTAGTTTCCCGTGTGATTTGGACGTTGAATGGGGTTGTACTGGATGCAAATGCTTCGCTTAGGTCATGGCCTTCAGCTTCCTGTTCGGACAAGTTTATCTCGGCATCAAGTAATTGTAAGTCGTCCATATCAAACTCATGCAAGTCTGACTCCATGTAATCTGGAAGGGCCAGATCCTCAAAGTCAGGCGGTGTGCCAGACGACTCCTCTTCCAGCAGGGTGCTTGGTGATTGGCCCGAGCCAACGAATGTCGGGGTTTGGATGAGCAAATTGGTTGACTGGGAGTCCATGTCAATCTCGGCTCGCTCCGGTGGCAAGATTTGATCCGATGCAGCACCCTTTGAGACACATTTGGGTTCAGACAACTGCTCCAATTGCGCCGATTGTAATCGCTCTTTGGGTGATTCAGAAGGGACCATCATCGGCGGTTCTTCTGACGTAGACGGCGTGATCTCGCGAGGCGTTGCGCTTTTGTGCGGCGCTGGGGGCCTTCCACCTTTGCGACGCCTTTGTGGTAGAGTATTGGAATATGTGCAAGCTAGATTTCGGTCTCGGCATCGTTGACAGCCAAATCTGTGTCCAGTACATTTCAACTGAGTGAGCAGGTCAGCGCGGTTTCTCATGAGGTTCAGTCAATCAATCGATTATACCTTCTTTGCTCGGCAGCCGTCACAAGCAAAATGGTTTGTGTTCTGACCCGGTTGCGGTAGTTGATGTGTACTTGAAATGCATACGACCTCTCCATCTCGGTCTTCGGTTCGAAGCGTCGCAAACATGTCGAGAGAGCCGAGTTCTGCGTCTTAACTCAGAAAGTTTTCGGTAAGTTGGGACTAGACGAACGATATCACCACATTCTGGAGCAGAATATCTCCAATTTGAACCATCTGAAAGCTCGATAGACACCATCTGCATGTCGTGAGGCGGAGTCCGAGGAATGCAGGGTGCCTTGTCCATTGATGTAACTCTGGTCTAAGCTGCGTCTCCGCTGAATGTCTTGAGATAGAAGGTGATGAACTTTATTCCTAGTGTTGAACTCTAAATAAAGTTTCCCTCGCGCGGTCATTTCAGGATGAAGATTCCCAGATTTGCATTATTCTCGTACCACTTGTCGAGTCGTTTTGTCCACTGGGACCCAGTGGTCCGGACCTGGCTCAAAACACGAATATCCCACATCACGGGATGGCGCCATGACAGCGGCTATCATGATAGACCGAGGCCCGGGTTGCCAAACATGAGTCCCCTAAGTTATCTTCCCCGCGGTGCCTACCCCGGCTCCCACACAAAAAGGGGCGTGTCACTAATCACAAAGCAAAACTCAATTTCTCTAGGAAGTCAGGCAAAATCAACATCTTCGTCCGGTGTCCCATCCCTCACAAAGCTCGACAGTAGTCAGGCATAAATGCCAGAGCTCAAAGTTCGCTGGACGGTTGGGATTGCTGTCTTGGGAGCAAACCCCGGACCGAGCCAACCGTGCTCAAAGTTTGAGTTATTCATATACAAAACGTCGTCTCAAGTTCCCTTCTGGAAGACCCTGAATATCATGTATGTGGATGAGACTACGAGTCTCGGCGTATCAAGGAGCGGGCCTAGCCACGTTCTACCATCTCCACTGTCTGCTTGCTCCACCGACCTCCGATCGAGGCCGACATTCCGTCCGGGTTGAAAGCCGTGCATAACCCTGCAACAGTCGAATGAAACTATCCACTTCCTCGGCGCCCCTCGCGTGGCCCTCGATCGTTCACCGCTGTTTCCCTTGCCCCCCAACTGCCCCTCTCTTCTTGATTGACAGGTCGTATCAATATCAGGGTTGTGCTCGCAAGATCGGCAAAGTGATTTCTAGGCGAGAACCCCGTAGACGAAATAGGATGTATGCCGAAGAAATACGATAGCCTCGCCACGCTGCTTTTCCCATCTTGGTCCCGGGGAGGTGGAAAATACGCGCTGCGATGTGCAACGGGGTAATAATGGACCGTTTTTCGAACAGGGGTAGTAAAGCATGGAATTCATTTCCACACGTTAAGTAAACCCTGACTTCTCGCGGGGTTATACCCTCTAGATGTCTCTAGATGTTGGGTTCGAGTACTTCCGTACGCCTCAGGATTTCAAGGAGTAAATGGTGAGTGATTGAGGCAATTTTCACACTCTTTCAGACCTACTAGGAGCAGTCGATTGCACCGCATGAATCAATATGCAATGACAAGCCCACATGGTGGTTCAAGATGCCTCGGCGGATTGGTCAAATTGCTTGAGTTGGTTGCTTGAATATGAAAGATTTTTGTTTCGATGAGCCCAAACTGCAAGACCGCTGGGAAATGATTTTTGAGAAGCTTTTTCAAATGCTATATCTGGCTATTGCGAGTCCTGTGACTTGCCCATTTTGGCCTACTTGGTTAGATCCTGAACCTGTCGATGCCAATATTGGAATCAAGTTGACGCAGTGGCCTCTGTATTGCATCAGAATGTCGCAAACTCGAAATTCGTGCTCATGGATTCATGAGTCTTTGCTTATTCAAAAGTCGATTTTAGCTTTCATAAATAATTAACACAACTGACTTTCAAATAAAAACTCGACTCTGAAGATGAATGAGCAACTTAAGCTTCAAGTTGACACGACATCAACTTATTGAAAAGTTTCCAGATATTCACCAATTATGCAGTTTCAGTATAATAGCGACGTTCTGACAGTTGAAGCATTTCGAACTTCGCGTAGAACTCATTTATTAATCCTTGGTTTGAGGCTCTGAATGATAGGACGGTATCTCAGCCCGTACGCTTTTGGGGTGGATTCACAGATTGAATCTTGCCCTCCTATGGAACATGGATAGAGCTTCTATCGTTGACTCCTTGCGTATGGGGAGCATAGAGACGTATCCACATTTGATTACTTACACTTATAATTGAATCGTCCCCCCACTAGTGCGTCTCTGAAGATCGATTTGTTTCAATCTAGTTAAAAGGTTGTCAACTAAGGTAGGCACATTCTTTCAGCGTACCTCAAGCTCGAAAGTTGGCATCACGCAGTCCTTGACGATAGCAATTCAATACAGGCAGCCTTTTGTCCCGGATGAGCAATGACATTATTCGCGAAGAGTCATTCATGATCCAGGGTCCTATTCCAGGAGACTCGTAATGTCTCCTGCGTTTGGGGTACGGCGCTCCTTGGAGCCTCTCGGTAAAGTGGGTGTCGCCGTGCCGGTGACTTTGCCCAAGTAACCTGCCAACTATACCTCACTTTTCTCAGATGGGTGACAGGAAATTTTATTTTTCCTAGGTACTTCCTCCTTGGTGGCTACTCCCAATCACATATCCTGTCGCCACCAACACAGAACGAACCTCAGCTATCACGCCCCGAGGCCCCACCCCCGCATTTCAGCAGGACATCCCGACACTCCTCATGCTTTCTCAATGAAACCTCATGGTGGTCCCGGGGCCTCTATACAACTTTTTTTTGGAAAATTTGCAACCCAATACCTCCCAGGGTTCGGTCGTCGTAGTGTCTGTCTTTAAATATGAGCCATTTGGGCGAGCCCGGGACGCTCTTGAGACCCCTTTTCCTCACCCGTGATCATATCATCCATCTCACTTCGCTTCTGCTCTTGACTGTCGTGGTATTCTTTGCAAAAGTAACACGATGTCGATCTTGCCTGTTCAGGAGATTCGGCTGCAAGAAGATGTGGACACTAAGTTGAAAGAACAAACGCTGGGAACAGTTCAGCTTCGCCACAATGAAACCAATGAAATCATTCTGGTACCCACGCCCTCAAATGACCCCAACGATCCTTTAAACTGGTGAGTGTTGATTCATTCCAAATTGCTACGAATACCACGAGTTGAGGGAGACTTGCGCTGAATCATAACGTACCAGGTCACCAACACGCAAATACTACATTTTTTCGCTGACATGCTTTGGAATTTTCTTCGCCCATGCCGTCATTGTCGGGCCTGCTGTTGCCCTAGAGTTGATCACTCTCGAATTCTTCGGCCCTGGGCCTGACACTGTGCCAAACAACATTGCTAAAGCATCATACCTTCAAACCGGGTGTTCACTCATGATTGGTGCGGGCAATCTTATTTGGGTGCCTCTGGCAATCAAATACGGCAGAAGGCCCGTTTACATCGCGTCCTACCTTTTACTTACGGCAAGTTGTATATGGAGTGGCGCAGCGGCTTCTTTTGGCAGTGCACTTGTTGGCAGGCTCTTTCTCGGCTTTGCTTGTGCTGCTGCAGAAATCGTCGCACCCTTGACAATCACTGACTTGTTCTTCTTGCACCAACGCGGGCGTGCCATGGTGTCAGTCTATCCTTCTTTGCTTACATCCCAGGAGCGCCTCAATTAGGATGAACCGATTCTGACAATCTGCATTAGTATCTACACATGTTCCTTATCTGCGGGTGTGGGTGTGGGCGTGGTGTTTTCGGGCCTGATCACACAAACTTACAGCTGGAGGATGATATTCTGGGTATTTTCTGCCTTCGTCGGAACTTGTACGGTTCTAGTACTGTTCACCTTCCCCGAAACACACTATCGAAGGCGATATGCAACGGAGCTAGAGGTGGTACCATCCAGACACGAATCCACCAAGCCGTCTTCTCAGTGTCTTGAGAACCCTCCTTCTTCGTCGCACACGTCATCTCCATCGACGTGGAAGACCTATTTGGCGACTATGACAGTCTTCTCGGGGACTTACACTAGCGAACCTCTATTGGCTCTGATGTTCCGTCCTCTTGTCGCCATTACTTTGCCAGCCGTATTCTGGGCGACCTTAATCAACGCAATCACCACTGGCATGATCGTTGTGATATCCGCGAACTTCTCGAACGCTTTCTCGACGGTCTACGGTTTTCATACCTGGCAATCCGGTTTAACGTATCTCTCTACGATATTTGGCTCCTTCTTAGCCATCTTCTGCGGGGGACACTTCACAGATTGGATGGCAGACAAACTGACGATTCGGAGTGGCGGAACCAGGATCCCCGAAATGCGGTTACCTGCAATGATAATCAGCTTGATCACGGGTCCATTATCATGCATTTTATACGGGGCAGGCTTCGCGAAGAAATTACACTGGATTTGTCCCACTATTGGTATCGGCCTTGGTACGTTTATCCGCCTTCCTCTCGGTCTCTTTAGACACGCATATGTTATGGAAGGGATATTAGGGCGTCACAAGCTAACTTGGATAGTAAACTTCACCACTGTTCAGTCAAACAACGTGGCTCTTGTGTATATTCTTGATTCTTATCGGCCCATAGCCGGTGAGGTTATAGTAACGCAGTCTTTCTTCAAAGGTGAGCCAATTCCTGAGATGTGCCTATGACATATTTTTGTGAGATACGACCCTTGAGGGGGCGTTTCTTTGTGTTCATGTAGCTGATGTTCTAGTAGCCGTTTTTGGATTTCTTCTCAGCTTTTACGTGAATGTTTGGGTCCAAGAGTCAGGATATCTCTCCGTATTTGGAACCTTAGCGGGTATATCGGCGGCTGTGTTCTTGTCAACCATACCCTTTTACTTTTTTGGAAATCGAATGCGACAGGCAACATGGAAGTGGAAGTTTTCCAGGCAGTTCCTGCACTGGCACCCAGATCGGGAGGTCGGCGAATAGGCTACTGTAGCAAGCGCTTCATTCAGTGCCCGCAACATCCTTCGTCGCTGTAGGTAGATACTTGGGCAATATTTGGAAGGAAGAAAGCAAGAGGGAACTAGTGACTTGTTCGCTTTGTTTCAACATATATGCCTTAGGTTAATGTGACAATTTCCTGTGGCTTTTTCGACAACCTCGTCGCTTTCAGTCCATGTATAGCCCCCCATTGACGAACATGTGTTCTCCATTGACCCATCGGGATCGTTCTTCGCAAAGAAACGCCACAGCATCCGCTATTTCTTCTGGCTTGCCTAGCCTTTTCGCCGCCGGCGTTGCTTCAATTGTAGGCCCTAGGACCTTCATGGCTTCCTCTCCGGCACTCAAGAACCCGTGCGTCGCAGTAGGGCCAGGGGACACAGCATTGACGGTGCATCCATATTTTGGGGAAAGCTCTTTTGCCCAAACACGGGTGAAAGAATCTACCATCCCCTTGGTCCCGGCGTAGATAGTTTGTAGAGGAGGGGCAGCGCGGGAGCTAATGGAACAAATGTTGACGATGCGTCCACTTCCACGAGTAAGGTATGGCAGAGCCTGCTGCGTCAAGAGAAATGTTCCACGACCGTTGAGATTGACCAAAGAATCCCAGTGATCGAGCGTTTGTTCCTCAAATGGCAAATTGATGGCAACTGCGGCGTTGTTGATAAGAATGTCAATGTGACCATAGGCCTCAACTGCACCTTCTATCAACTTCCTCGGTCCGTCCACAGTGCTAATGTTGGCTTCGATCGCGATTCCTGGGGTGGAAAGTGCCGCCACTGCTGCGGCCGCTTCATCTGCTAGGGAGGCGTTTGGGTAGTTGATCACGGCGTGGGCTCCTCGAGCGCTGAGCTCCTTCGCTATTGCATGCCCAATACCACTGCAACTACCGGAAACCACGGCAATCTTGCCCGCGAGACTGTGGTTTGCGGCCATGAGGGTTGAGCTTCAATGAGGAAGGGTGTGGTTCCAGGCAGATTCGCAATCTGATAAGCAGACTTTATGTAAATACTAGCAATTCTCAGTTTTAAAATGTTTGACAGCATCATTTGGGACCTTCTCAAGTTGTAACACATATAAACCTCGTATTATTCAGCCCAGAACCACGATGGTCGCTTGCCCCGGCTCGTGTCGATCCCCCGCTCCCGCCCCTCAAACCCACTGCCGACGTGGTATCGAATCCCGGCACGGAAAGTGGGGGATGGCGTGGAGTCCACTTGCCGTCCCGCCGCTCGGGTCCTCAAGCAATACGGCAGAATAGTTGCGTCGTCCCTCCGACGTGCCTCACCCGGTATCGTCTGAAGGGGTGGTCTGAGATAAATTTGCTCGGACCCGGGGTCAATGATGAGACCACACTGCAACTCGCTCGAGGGACAGCAGTTAAAGCTACTGGGGGAAACATAATTATAAAACTAAGCAGCTTTTGCTGATATTAAAAAAGCAATATGGGATGGCCTGGTCAAGCATATACTCACTTCTTACTCCGTACTTGCAAACTCATCGAAGCCTAATTGATGCGCATTTAATCTCTCTCTTTGGAAATCAGATAGGCATTACACCACACCCACAGTGCTTGAATATGATGCAAGAATAGCAACTCTGTGAACTTCAAGGAAGATATCGAAAACATCAATATACTAAATCGATTCTGACGACGGCCTGTCGTTGGATTGAAAGGTCCTAAGTACTCAGTGGGTCTAGAATGACTCTGGGTAGATCATGATATCAGAGGGTCTTTGTGCCATTGTCGTACCCTAGTCGTTGGGGAGATGAATCAAAATTTCAATATGGATATTTATGTGGTCTGAGAATCTTTTGCCACATGAGGTACTCGGCACCAGGAGCATCGTAAGCCCATCTCAAAACATGTGTTCCAGCCGTTGACTTTACAACGAATTTCATACCATTTGTTACGTATTCACTTAGTGTTTTGGGTTGACTATCATCAAAAGATGCAACTCAGTTACGATAGCCTCAGACCTGACCAATGCAACTCGGTTACTATATACTCAAACCCAACCAATGCAAATCACTAACGTCACATAATCCCTGTAGTGACACGCATAGATTCCCAAGACTCAAATTTCTTCCCCATGTTAGCGGGTGTCTTTGCTCCAACCCCCGGGCGATCCTTGGCCCAATCCTGCAGACCCGCCTTGCTCATTCCGGTGTACTTTTGCAATTCCTCCTCTGAAATCTCAACTCTGTTTCGGTCTTGCATGCGTTGATAGAGTGATCTCTTCTTCGACGTGGATATTGGCATAGACTCGGAAGTTTCGTGCTTTATAAGCGGCGTTTGACTGTCGGTTTTGCTAATTTGATCAGATCTGTTGATCTGAACGCGTGTGCTTCAGAGAAAATGGTTTATAGACAGCTCTCGATCCTGGTAGCGGGAGTTTCGTTCAGAGTAAGTGTAGGCGGAAGGCAGTCTTGATATGATTTGGTTCTGGGCAGAGGACAATCGATTAACAGTCTTCGAGTGATGTGCTGGCACAAATCGTCTTTTCTTGGCGCCAAGTGATTATTATTTTGATTTGTTGTAGACTCAAGTCGAATATATGTATTCTCTCTCTAGAGGCGTTGTCGTAGCCGATAATTATAACTGGATCTTCCAGTTGCCCAGGTGCATTGGCACAGTGAACAAAGTGCCGGCCACTTCCGTGGTGACGAATGAGGCCTTGTTAGTTGACTACTTTACGGCGCAGCGGGGAGCAACGCCCAGTTGGTCACGAGGACTGAGGCACAGCTCAAGCACCTTCCTGTCCTGGGCTCGAAGTGGATATGTTGGTCGCTTGCAAACACGTATTGGCTTGGTAGCCATCGCGGAGCCTCAAAGTGGACCGAGCGGGCAGTCACATGGATTCGTCGGGCAACGTGAAGTTGTCGCAAGCTGATAGGGGGAGAACGGCAACCCCGAGAAGAGCGGCAGCGCGCTTGCCGGCATGGCCATAAACATTATCTCACCTCACTATTCATGGAATTCAATGCGAATTGGCTTCGACTTATTCACGTTGTATTCTTCATTTTCTATCATACACAGCCAGGTAAATGGCTGGAGAAAGACATCTATCGCATCATCACAGTAAGATCCGATGATGGAATTCGCGCCGCTCGCTCTCGAGAACCAATGGACCACCACTGGGTCCGCTAGCATCTAGACTTAGGGTCACCCGCTGCAAGTCAGCAACGACCCGTACTGTCTCGCCAATGTTTTGGTAATCGATCTCATGATGACCAGCTGTCTCGTCATTCTCCTCCTTCTTGACCTCGCGAATCTCCACATTGGGGTAGGGCAGCCGTCCTTCGCGCAGCGGTACGATGAGCACGGGAACATGCAACTCGGATTCTCCAAACTTGGCGTCCGACTTGTCTACTCCCAGACTCTTGAAGTTGCCGCGCTTCCGGCCGCCGATGAGCCATGTGTCACCTGGACCAGTCACATCAAAGCTGAACTCGTAGTCCCTATTGATGCCTTTGCCATCACTGACAGCCGTGTCCCAGATGCGAGTCCAGCGCAAACGCAGATTAGCAGACAACAACTGGTTGACGGCCAGGGTCGAACCTGCTATTTGTTCGTCGGGTGGCGGAAGCTGAATGTCGACCGAGTGGAAAACGGGAATGGAGGGGACGTCGACAGGGATGAGGATTGATCGACTGATCGACTCGATTCCTTTGATGGTCAACTTTGGATACGTTGACTGCCAGGAAACAAGGAATGCCTGAAGAGCTTTAGAGGTGTCTTCTTTGCCGCCCGGGGCTGTGCCCAGACCTCTGAAGATATTCCCTGTTAGTAAAGGCGATACGAAGGCCGTAGAAACCTCGCCGAGGAGAGCAGCTCGCTCCAAGTCATAAGCCGAAAGGCTAGACCGCACCTCTGCCAGTACGCGGTTGATCAAAAGGCCTGAGAAGGAGGAAAGAGGAGATTCTTCGATGTACTTTGACAGGGAATCTTCAACAAGGGCAATAATCTCATCCAAGACAACGCTGTAATGAAGCTTAAGATACAGGGTCCGCTGGGTCTTGGGTGTGGTGTTGCCTGAAGCTTTGCGTGTGATCTTGTAAAGCAAACTGGCAGGCTGCTTCGGAAACACAATGATGGACTTGTTTGGTGGAGCTGCAGAATGGGCAGCAAAGACATCTGAGTCGATCAGATGTGTTTTGAACACTCTGAGTGGGCTCAACGAGGCTGTTGAGACGCTGAAGCGGGAGAATAAGGCGTTGTGCTTGAAAACGTCCTGTACATTGACGCCCAAGGCGAGTGCCACTGGGACTGAGAATACATTGGAGTATGTGAAAGTGCCCTCGTCTGTAGTGTACGTGATTTCGATTCTAGCCGATATGCTCGGAACATCTTGCTCGATGGTGTACGGGAAACGCATTTTGATGGCGGACGACGCGGAGATGCTTCCGAAGCGGAAAAGTCCGGCCTCCAAAGGCTTCTCGTATTCTAGTGCAGGTCCAAGAAACGTTGCTTCGGTTGAAATGATTCGAAGGCCGCCAGTCGATGGCTTGACCGAAAGCTCACAGGACTTGATAGTGTTCCATCCCGTCAAGAGTTCCAAATCAAGCGAATTGTTCTTGTCCAACTGAATGTCTCTTGCCGCCGTTAAGCGACAACTCAAACCGCCAGTGGGGCGATAGAGTTCCAAGTCGGGAAGACGGAAGATCTGCGCCGTCTTGCTGGGTGTTTGGTTGACATCCCGCTCCCAGTGTAAGTCAACTTTGTTGCAAATCAAATCTGCCCGGTCAATCCTGTAGTGACCGGCGACATTGGTCTAGCATCTGTTAGTTCAGCTTCTCTCGTATCGTCAGCATACTACTTACAGTGCTGGTAAGCCGCAACTCGTTGATCCCTGGCTTGAGAATGTTCGCTTCGGAAGTGTGTAACCAAACCTCCTTTGTCCCCCCGGATGACGTCCTGGACAAGCGTATGGCGGCCTTCTCCAGGCTTAGGTCATCTATGAGCAAGCTTCTTAGTTTAATGGTAAGAGAGAAGCAATCTTTGCCGGTGTGGTAGGCTGGATGCCCGACAACTTCGACTTGGGTGAAGAGATGCCCCAGAGGCACCCTGACCTCGTTGGAAAGGGTCTTAGCTACACTCAATACCTCATCGAGAAAGCCAGCGATGGCACTTTTCTCGGGGTACTGAATCTCCGAGTGAGCTACAAACGAGGGCTTCTTCTGTTGAAGCCTCTCATTTTCTGCGGCTGCTGCCTTCGTCAAGAGCTTCAGTCCCACGCGAACAAATTCATCCTTACGCTGAAGCTCTTTCAGACATCGAGAGTACATGACAAGCATGGAAAGCTCCAATAGGCTCCAGCTGTTCTCCCCAAAAAATGGAGTGGTCATGTAGAAGTAAGAAGCGGCCGGGCCGTACTCACCAAGGTGATACTTGAGCACGGCGAGGTCGGCCATGCTTGTCTTGACTGCATGAGTGTGGTTGGCCACGGTGTAATGACGCAAGGCCTTGTCCGTGAGTGTCTCGTACAGGCGATAGAAGTCGTCCCGATTGTCGAGGGCAGTGTGGAGAAGACCGTTCTCGATACCAGCCAGCCCTATACAGAGCGGATCCGGGTTGTCTGTCTGAGACTTGTGATCATCCCCGTCGAGATCAACGTCTTCAAAGTCGTTGCCATCCATTTCCCCTAGTACCGGCGCAGATGTCCATCCAATATCCCAGCCTCGTTTCTTTCCGCTGCCTTGGAGGACGTTCCTAGACAGAGCATAGAGTTCTGCCCGACGCGCAGCGAGTTCCTCTAGGCCAGCTTTGAGATATTGGGCGTTGGGTGCTGTATTGTCATCAGGGTTGGGGCCTGTTCCCCCGGGAAACACTCCAGGACTGGGCGGTGGTCTGGTACTTGTATTGGAACCCGTTCCTACACGCAAAGACGAGTTTCGAGCCGGGTGTAGCATGGTTTTCAACTCTGGAATTGATGACTTTGGCTCATGGCCGTCGGAGGGAGTCAAACTCGAAGGGGGGATGGGCAGTGCTTTGCTCGACGTTTGAGCAAGAATCTGCTGCGCGACGGAGAATGCGAATGATGCAACAAGATTATCAATAGCCTCCGCCAGGACGGGGTTGAGAATCGGGGAATCTTCCTCGGTAAGCTTGTTCTTCAGCGCAGCCAAGATGTCGGCTCTCATAACTTGCGAGACAGCCGGTACGAATTCTAGGGTCCTTCGGCAGATCTCAGCCAACATGGACAGGTTTTCGGCTTCATCTGTCTGCTTTGGGGGCGGCGCTTGCGGTGCAACGCCGTGAAGGACAGACTCCTGTTGCTCTCTAAGCTTTGCCAGGAGATCTTCCCTAGTTGACCAGGCGTTGCCAAGGCGGAGCAGCAGCGATATCTGTCTCGCAAAGATGTAGCAGCGAAAGTCAAAGACTGACACATTATTGGCTACTATCATTTCGCGGTACGGCTTCTTTGTGGCGCTAATAGGGATATCGTCGAACTTGTCGGTTTTGGAGGCATCCGTGGCCTGTAGATCAACAGGCTGGTCATCCTCTAGAGAGCCGTCCTCAGCACCCAGTGCGGCAACGGCAGCTTCAGCTCGCTTCACGAGGTCTTGCGTGTGACTCAACAGAGAGCCCCCATGGGTCTGGGGATCTCCGGAGGTGGCCTGTTCTTGGATGACTGTGTCGAGACCGACACTGAGCTCGTCGTAGCCAACTAAGGCATCCTCTACAAGACCGACACTCTCGAACCCACGCGCAAGACCCTCCTTGAGTATGAAGAAGGTACAGAAGTTCCAACCCGGTAGAGCCCGCTGAGCATCCTTCTCCTTGATGTCTTCCTCGTACTGGGACACCCTCATGTCAAAGGATGACAGAATCAGCTCCTTGAATTTGCCAACGAGGTCATCCCATGCGTTTTCGGCATCCTGACGCGACTCGGTATAACCGGTTGGCGTGGCAGGAACAACTCGAGGCAGTACATCGTATGGAACGTCGTTGATGCCGATACGGATCTGGGCCACGCGATCGATCGCGCCCTTGCTAGAGCTGTTGAAGTCGGACCGAAGCTTCTCCAATAACGTGGAGGATCCGGAGCCCCATCTTGACGATCTTGCTTTCTCGGCAGCATCGAGGCCCTTTCCGCTGACCCTAGGTTGATTTGCCGCAAAAGTGTTGGGTATTACGACATGAATAATCAGGAACTCAAATGCATCATGGTTCTCTTGTGTGTTCAGCTTCCGGGTAGACTGCGAAGGCGGTGTATTCTTCTTGATCCATTCTCTGATTTCTGCCCTTGTTTGGGACTTGTAGGTATCGCTGTCGTCGCATCGAACGAGCAGGACTTTGAGGTAAGGGGTCCGCCTCAGGCCGGGTATTTGGTGGCGCCGTTCCTTGCCAGGCTGTCGCGCCGCTATCGTTGGGGTATCGGAAATATCTGAAGACGTGCTTTTGCCTCCGATAGACTGCGTTTGGAAGCCATCGTCCTTTGCGCCGGCGCTTACTGACCGGCGGAGCGAAGGGGAGATGGTTGGCGAGATTGGGGCAGCTGGGTCTCCGCCAGCGGGCGTGAGCTCTACGTGAAGGGTATCGATCGAGCGCAAAGGTCCAGCATGCGACTGCCAATGGAGATTTCGAAGGGGCAGTCGTGGAATGAGGCCCGGGGTGACGAGCTTGTAAACGTCGTGGGGATCGAAGTACTCGACTGCGAATAGCATGCTTGGTCAGTTGGGGGGAAGCGCAGTCAAGGTACGACTAGTAGGCCAACGAGATAACAACAGGATCATGAGACGCGTAGAGCTTACCTGTGACTTTGGAGGTTGAAAAAGGCCGCTCCATCTTGAACGGCTCCTCCAATTTGGACTTTTAAATTACATGGTCCGTCGCAGCTTCATTTACTAAATTGCGCGGCGGGTGGGTGCCGGTCGAATGCAAGGTGTACAACTCGCCTCGGTGAGGTTCTAGCTTCGGTGGAGACGCTGGGCGCGATTCAGCGAGCTTGGAGCTGGAACATCAAAGGGGTTCGGTCCCGTTTGTTGGAATTGGAGCCTTGGAGCACTGGACGGGAGGATGGGAGCTGGCGAAATGCGCCAGCCAACGGCGGGATCCCCTAGTCGGCCCCGGCCTAGGGGTACCTAGGAACCTCGACAATGTAAGGTAGGTACAAAGGTAGCTCTGCCTCCGATGATTCCCCGAGAGCGGTGTGCTACCCAGTGCTGGAATGATTGGCCCAAGATGACGCTGCTTGCTGAACGTCAATGGAGGGGCACGGCAGAATCTTTTTTGGTTTTGCTTTGGGGAGAAATGCCCCTCCTCTGCCTTGGATCAGGAAGCGATAAAGTGCCCTATATTTCTTGAAGCAAAATACTTTAGCTTTACTTCTTTCTCCAACAGCATCATCGTAATTTCTCTGTTTTCGCCATGTCTGGACTCCAAGCCGTCAAGTACACTCGGGGTCGTCTCGAAGTCCTGGACCAACTGAGACTGCCTCATGAATTCCACTACGATGAGGTGTCCACCAGCGAGGAGGCCTTTGACTGCATCAAGTCGATGAGAGTTCGTGGTGCCCCCGCCATTGCTATCGTCGCCGCCCTCGCCCACGCTGTCGAGCTACACAACGGCAGCTGCGCCGCCTCTTCATCACAAGATGCCGTCACTTACATCGACTCGCGTTTGGATTACCTCAAGGAAAGCAGACCGACTGCCGTCGACTTGACCAATGCTATCAACCAACTAAAGGCCCGCGTTAGGAGCGCGCCTCAGGATGATTCCAAGACGGTCATTGCTGCATACATTGAGGAAGCCGAGAAGATTCTGCAAAAAGACCTTCAGACCAACCTGTCTATTGGTGACCATGGAGCGCAATGGTTGAGAGAGGTCGCTGGTGCTTCACCTGATGCCAAAGTATCTGTCCTCACTCACTGCAACACTGGCTCTCTGGCAACATCTGGTCACGGAACCGCCCTCGGTATCATCAGAACACTTTGGTCCAATAACCTTCTGAAGCACGCCTACTGCACCGAGACGAGACCCTACAACCAGGGTAGCAGGCTGACCGCCTTTGAGCTTGTTTACGAGACCATCCCCAGCACTCTCATCACAGACTCCATGGCTGCCGCGCTGTTCAACTTGCAAAAGGACAAGATGAACATTGCTGCTGTCATTGTAGGTGCCGACCGTGTCGTTCGCAACGGTGACACTGCCAACAAGATTGGAACCTACCAACTCGCCGTCTTGGCCAAGCATCACGGCGTCAAGTTCATTGTTGCGGCTCCCACCACCAGCATCGACCTCGAGACCCAGACCGGCGCCGGCATCAAGATCGAGGAACGCAAGGGGGAGGAGCTCACGCAGATTTCCGGTGCTATCGTCCAGGCTGATGGCAACGTCGATATCGCTCGTACAGCGCGTGTGGCGACGGCGGACCAGCGCATTAACGTCTGGAACCCTGCTTTTGATGTTACACCGCACGACCTGATCGATGCTGTTGTTACGGAGAAGGGTGCTGTTGTCAAGAACGACGAGGGTCAATTTGATTTCCGTCACATCATGCCCGAGAGATGGGCGCAGGTGGTCGCCCAGTGATGGGAATCTCTCCTTTCAAGCATAGATGATGATGATATTTGTTTTGCGTTAAAGACTGGAGCTGGATCTGGAGCTGGAGCTCGGAGCCCGATGTATGTTCAAAATTGAATTTTGTCTATAGGGGATATAGCGTATTAGCAGGACACTGCTTCAAGGTTGTCTCATGACACTAAGCAGAGTCCTTGAGAGCATGCAGGATCAACTTTTGGTAACCTCCCACGGATTCCTCAAGCTCAGCAACGGTGATGTTTTCGTTGCGGCCATGTGCAACCAAAATCGTGCCTGGTCCATACAGGTAGCGAGTGTGCGAGCCCTTAAGGTTAGGAATGTCAGTTCCATAGTTGGCCACAAGGGTATCAAATCCTGGATGATGAGTCGTCAGTAATTATTCAAACTGCACAGGTTGCTTGGTTAAAGTGCATGGGTCTCACCATCAACGTCACAGTTGGCCTCCACCACGCCATATCCGTGGGTGCAGGTCAACTCGAGGGACTCGGCATCGGTTTCGTCGAGAATCTTCTGGATTCTCTGTTTGACAATGTTGCCGCCGTCCTTTTCGGGGCCAATGGCAACCCGAACCGCGATCCTTGCCAGAGCAGAGGCAGGAATGACATTCTGAGCAACGCCGCCGTTGAACTGGCCAACATTGACGGTGGTGTTGCCCCACTTGTCAGTGCTTCCGAGATCTGTCGTGATAATCTTGGCGAGGGCCTTGATCATGATTTCGTTGGCCGACTTGCCGAGCCATGGGTAGCCAGAGTGTCCAGCGACGCCCTTGGCCGAGATATCGCAAAAGACACCACCCTTGTGACCGCAAGCGAGCTTGTTCTCCGTAGGCTCTCCGAAGATGACGGATTCAAATTGCACCGGCGGGTCGGCTGCCTGGAGGGAATCGGAAAAGAAACGCATTCCATCGCCAGTGTCCTCCTCACCAATGACAAATAAGAGCATGGCATCTTCGGGGTTGACTTTGCCGGCCTCGAACAGGTCCTCGAGAGCAATGATCTGAGCCGCAACACTAGCCTTGGCGTCAACGCTTCCTCTTCCACTAATACGAGTGTCGGGAGTGATTTTGTCATCGGATATGCCGTAAGGAATATGAGGCGGCACAACATCGTAGTGCGAAGTGACTACAACGCGAGGTGCGGGCTGGCGTTGGTTCGTCTTCCAGGCCAGGACATTGAACCTCGGGGTCTCTTCCGTGTTGTTGTTGCGCGGTGGCAGGAATTGCAGAGAGGAGACATAGCCGCGGCCAGTCAGATAATCGACCAAGAACTTCCCGGCGGCGCTCTCATTGCCTGAGATGGAGGGGATCTCAATGAGGGATCGATGTAAAGAGATGAGGTCGTCGCGCCAGGAAGGAGCGGCGGATGAGGGTGAGTGAGGCGTTGGCGGGGAAGATTCGACGCCGATGGGCTGCTGGATGTGAGAGGCGGCGGCAAGGGAGAGCACAGAGCTCAAGGTCATGAGCTGAGAGACACGCATGGTGGTGGCGGAGCTTCAAGCCTATAGAAAATTTGGCTGCTTTTGACGGCTCACAAGCATTGATCAAAGGATGTAGGTCTCAATTGAGGTCTCAATTGGAGAGATTGGTCGCCGCTACAAATCATCAATGGCCGGCGGCGGGCGCGAGAGTTTCCCGGAGACTTGGCTATGGTGCAACCGCAAACGGAGCGGTGTCGGAACGAAGTGGGCGGAGATCGACCTGGTAAGGTAAGCCTGGGAGCTCAAGCCTCAATCACGGTGACGGGAAGTGCGATAAAAGTCAGTGATATGAGTGATAAGAGTCAGATATCTGCAGAGTGCAGGCTGAGGTGCGAGGTCTGAGAATGAGGTCATTCCATCCCAAGCTCCCGTCATTGGCTCCAGCCACGAGCACGGACTGTTCCCCGTCAGCCACCCCCATGTTCCCGCAGGGGCGGGAGATGATCCAAGCTTTCCAGGTTGGCCCCTCGATCCAATGAGATGGCGGTGGGGGGAGAGAGCCTCAACAGTGCAGTCTCAGCGAGCGTCTCAGACAAACGAGGTGGACTTGGGGATAGTGATGCTTACACACATTGGGATACTGGAGTGCCCGCAATCCACTTGACTGCACTGCTGCCGTCTAGCTGAGGTGCTGTTTCTCCCGCGTCAGGCTCCCAATGGTGAAGAATATCATGAGTGGTAGCAAGCAATGTGCCTGGTTTTATATACCTACCTAATTATGAGCCGCCCGGGCATCTTAGGTACTTAGTGTACCTTAACCAGCTTCTACCGGTAGTATCAAAGCTCTTGTTGCAATCTGTGCAAAGCGACTGAAACGAAACGTTTTAAGATGTGGCCAACGTGACCATCTCTTATTTGCAAACGGCCAAATACTATCCTTCTTGTACCTAGGTAATGACGTTCAGCACGGCTGTCTTTAATGGTTAATCCAGGCGGTCCGAGGCAGTGAAAACCAATGATCAAAGCCCAGTCAAGAACGAGATACGGGGATGCGTAGACGGGAGTGTCCAATCTGGGTAGTTCAATGGCAGTTGGCAGTGCTAGATATTCCTTACCTTTGCAGAATTCCACGCCGCTGAGGGAACAGGTCCGCCCGCTCTTTCCCCGGATCTGCCAATCTTGGGCAAACTCAGTGGACATCGAGTTCCAGTCTGCACCCCACCAGGATTTTACCTTATCATTTATGTAAATGTTGCAACTTTTTCCTCGTCTTGAGGTGCCTACCAATGATTCCTTAGCATGTATCAAGGTACCTACTGTGCAGTAGATATCTACTCGAGGTGATGTGCCTTTGGTCGTGTGTCCACCGCTCGGCGACCCACTTGGCCGCTGCTCCTTGCCTCTCTGGGACGCAGTTGGATTGGAGCGCTGAAATGGGGGTACCTCCCCCAGGTACTTGGTCTGTTTCGTTCCCCGTCCTCACTTCTCGCTCGCCTTGCCTCGCCATACCTAACGCTCCTTAGCAGCAATCCAGCAAAGGATTGATGAGCACCGCCTAAGGTAGTACACTACCTTTGCAGACAGGGGCCGTTCGTGAACCCAGCAAACTTCCCCAGCCATTGCATTCCACGATCCTGGAGCTACCAACCTCAACTTGCGCTCACCAACAGCTTCAATTGCTACCCCGTGATCCCTTCCACCGATCTTTCCCACGCGCACTCGACTCCTCGCAGGCCCATTCGATTCGTTCCGCCCATCTTGTCCCTTCTAGATGCAGCTTGCACTCTTTGCGCGCCACCGTGGGCTCCCGAAAGTCGATCCTAAACCTCCTCACGCTTGCCCGGACCCAAACCCCGATTCCATAAGTTTGTCGAGTCTCGCCTGAGCCCGTCCGCCCACTTTGCCCGGCTTCGCTTCGGTCGGCTTTGACGTGCCTGGTCATCGCCTTGCGGAGGGATGCAGGCCAACAGAGGAAACGCTGAGGCCCTGGGTCGCAAGGCCAAGGTGCGTCGCCCAAAAAATACCACTATCCATCATGCCATCCATCTTTTTTGTTTCGCAGTCCTCCCAATCGCCCTGCGTCGTGTTCCACCAAGTCGGCCATTTGGCTAATACTACTATGACAGCTTGCTCGCTCGTACCAGGAGCTCCTCGAGTGAGTTCCACTATCCGCCCGCTCCGGTGTGAATCCTAGGCTAACCTCCGCTGCTTCCAGCGAGTTCTCCAACAAAGACCTCAGCTCCGTCGGCAACTACACTCTCGGTCGTCTCATCGGAAAGGGTTCCTTTGGCAAGGTTTACTTGGCCTCCCACAAGCTCACCAATGGCTCCAAGGTAGGCAACGGCCGACATGCGTGCTGGGACAATACTGTCGAGTCTGGGATGGTTATACTCATTGACTGGGGTATAGGTCGTCCTCAAATCCGCAAATAAAGGCGACTCGAATCTCGCACGCGAAATACATCACCATCGACAATTTGTCCATCCACATATTGCCAGGTTGTACGAGGTCATAGTCACGGAGAATCTGGTGTGGCTGGTGTTGGAATACTGTGCTGGTAGGCTTTATCGTTTTATTGCTGATACAGAAACGATGATTGACAAGGACTCGATAGGCGACGAGCTTTACAACTACCTCCTCGAACATGGCCCCCTTCCCGTCCACAAAGTCCAGAAGATTTTTGCCCAACTCGTTGGCGCTGTCGCATACGTACATCAACAATCATGTGTCCACCGCGACCTCAAGCTGGAAAACATCCTGTTCGACAAGCACGAAAACGTCAAGCTTGTAGATTTTGGTTTCACGAGAGAATACGAGGGGAAAGCGAACTATTTGCAGACATTCTGCGGCACAATATGCTACTCGGCACCCGAAATGCTGAAAGGCGAAAAGTACGCTGGAGAAAAGGTCGATGTCTGGAGTCTTGGCGTTATCCTATATGCCCTACTATGCGGAGAGCTACCGTTCGACGATGACGACGACAACGTTACACGTACAAAGATCCTCAGCGAGGAACCGAAGTTCCCCGACCATCTCCCAACTGCCGCCATTCCGTTACTCAAGTCTTTGCTCTCTAAGCGACCCCTACTCCGACCCTCCCTCCCCGACATCCTCACCAATCCTTTCCTTGCCGAACATTCCCCAGCACAACAAGCGATCCTAAAACTGCAAAGGCCTCCGCCTTTTTCAACGCATCTAGAGAAGGAGACACTTCAGCGCATGCGGGGAGCGGGTGTCGATCTTGACTCCGTCATCGAAAGCGTGCTTGCGCAGCGCTGTGACGCTTTGGCTGGCTGGTGGACGCTGCTTATTGAAAAGGAGCAGCGGAAAGTCAAGAGAAGAGAGAGAAAACGGCGGGAAAGAGAGGCCGAGAATAGGAGCTTGCGCCGTCTGTCCGCCGCATCCAGCAGACTCGAGCGGATTGCGCCTGTGTTGCAAGAGGTCGATGAGGACGGCGGGCTGACAAACCGCTTCATCAGACTTGAAGACGGCCCTATCACACCACGGACAAGAGGCCGGTCAGAGAGAAGAAGCGCGCATTACGCCGACTTGGGGGACTTGCCCGGCCTGCCCGAGCACAGCAAGGAAAACGGAAGTCCCGATACAGAGGAACCACCTCCACCAATCGATAAGGACTCAATCCGGTCTGCCAGTACGTCTAGACATCGTCGCCCGGTTCCGCCCCCTAAGGAGGGCGTGATCCGCAGCGCACGATCTCGGGGTTCGACCCTTCATCTAGTGACCACTTCGGAAGCTTTGGCGGCTAACGGGACGCCAGAGCGACCACCTGAACAACAACAAAAGGTTCGCAAGAAGCCCTCACAGGCCATCATTGCGCATTGGAAGAACTGGACACACTGGTTCTTCGAGAACACCCGTAGGGGACGGCACGCGAACAAGAGAGGGAGTCACTCAACGCCCAACCTGGTCGATAAAAACGGCAGTGTTGCCGGCAGCAGCAGTAAACACTCCAAGGACACGAGTCCTCGGCCGCAGACGAGCAAGTACCCAACAACGGATGCCGGCGTACCTCAAGGAAAGGCCGGATTGCCTCGTGGCGTAGTGGCTAATGGCCATGCCAACAAGGCACTGCCAAGTCACGGAGGATCTGGAGGCTTCAGCAGTCCAGCCTCTGGTGGAGGCTCTGTCCCCACGCGGGTACCGTCCCGAATCACAACATCTTACAAGCGACAATCGCTGTCGCCGTCTCCCATGACCCCACGAACTACGATGCGGCGCTCTTCGGCAGGGTTGAGGGGCCGAAAGTCCACTTCTTCATCGGTCTCGTCCATTCGTTCGATGCCTCATCATCATCACTCTCATTCCAAAGCTTCATCAACAAGCTCAAACGGATCGGTCTCGACTTCCATGTCCAAGAACACTCTCCAGCGCGGGCAATCGCCTCATCACTCTGTCAAAGTTCTTCCAGCGACTCCCACCGCGACCGCCTTCCCGTCGAATATCCGTCTAGTTCGAGGGCCAGGTCCTCCGGCTCCCCTTGCTCTATTCAATGAGGGCATGCCTCCCCCACCGGTAACGTCAGGAATGCAGGCTCCAGGCTCGCCTAATCCCTTTGCCCTGGGAGGGGGCATTCAATTTGCCAAGCGAAAGCGGAACATCTTCAAGGGTCCGATGCTGGCCTTTGGCGGAGGTGGCAGCGCAGGCGGTGGCGGAGGAGGGGGCGGCAGCTCGCGAAGCACAAGTTCCAACCATTCACGCAGTGCAAGTGCTTCTGGACTCGGACGACGGTCGGGCGAAGCTCCCATCCAGGAAGAGGAAGAAGGCGAAGAAGCGGAAGAAGAAATCGAAGAGGTTGACGCTTTCAGCCCCGTTGTTGGGGGGCCAGGAGAGCGCATCGAGGAGCAAATTATTGAAGACAGCGAGACAGAGGCACTGGCAGAGCAGGCGGAGGAGAAGGAGGAAGATGCCCCTCCGGTAACGCCAAAAGCATCAGCCGCCCCTGTCCCGACATGATCAACCCCAACTACCCTTTCTGCCGTCCATCGAGGAGGATGGTGGCCACTTTTTTCTCCTCAAATACAATGTTTACTGCGAGTTTGATCAAACACGCTCCAAGGAACGAGTCCAGGCAAAAGCTTTCATAGTGTTTTTTTTTCTTTTCTGTATATTCCCCTTTTGGCGACTTGTACTATACTTAGAGGATACCTTGTACCAAACAAAGGGTGTTGAGATTTCTTTTGCAGTGAAGATAAAACCTCGAGTCAACGCTTGATGTATTTCTCTATTATCATGTCTAAACCTCGCTGTTATTCTGTCATTGTGCTTTGCGTTAGTTCCCAGCCTCCCGTCAGCGAATGCGCGCAAGTAGATCACATGACGCCGAGATATAGCGTCTATCAAGTTCAGGTCTTCTTGGTGGCCTTGGTAGTCTCGATGAGCCCGTTTCTCGCAAATATGATATTACGCATAGTCGCGTCTGTCGCGCATACGGACGCATCGAATGGCTTTAGGTCTACGTCTCCCATGATGGCGAGTGCAGCTAGGCCAAGGAATCCGTGGAAAATGTCTGGCGGGCCTCCAGGATACTTAGAGAACCCACCGATGAGATGTTGTGTTTTTTTGGTGATGAAGCGTCGTGACGGCTCGGCGTCAATGAGATCGGTGTGACCAAGCATCTTGAAAACGTCAGCAAACCGTGGCCCTTGGCAGTCGACAATCTATATTCCTTGTACCTGTAGTGTCCCTCCTACCCACCAGCAATAGCATGTGTCCGCGACCTTGTTACACCTTCCATTGAACCCAACGAAGCGCAGGTTTGGATCCAATGTCAGCTCGCTCAACGACGCGGGCAGCGCAAAGTTGGCATGGTCGGGATCGTCCGAGTCGTCTTCTTTCTCGAGGTACTCGAACTGGCGGTACACCAGGAACTTGACCAACAGGGACGCATCAGGGACGCCTTGCTGGAGTATCTGGCTGTCGTGTGGAGTTCCACTCTGGTCTGGGGGTCGATCGAGGAGGACCAGCGCGCTGACGGCGCACCATGCGTAGCCAGCTTCAAACCTCATATCAGCTTCACGTATTCAGCATCATCACCATTGTAGCAGGAGCGTACCATGAGACTCGTTTGCATGGGAGCTCTCAGCGACTCCACCGTCATAGGTCTGTCCTTGGCGGATGTGCCGAACGAGGCCATCAACGTCAATGTCCTCCACCCAGTCCTCGTCTCCCTCCTTGGCATCGCCCCGTAGAGCCCACCGTATCGTGGCGGCCAGAAAGCATAGCCGCATGTCCCTCCCGCCAGCAATGGCCCCGTCGTCCAGCACGAGCTCGCCAAAGCTGCCATCGGTCCTCTGCAGCCGCCTCAACCACCGCAACGTCGCAACGCGATCCACGCCCGCAAAGGCGCTCTTGGCTTCCTCTGGCCCGTCCGCGACAATGGCCAAGATCAACAGCGCAAAGTATGTCGAGGCCAGGTTCGCCGAGCTCGCATTCCTCGTTTTAGGCGTTGCCTTTTCAAAGTCCCAGCCGGCGTATAAGTCGCTCGGCAGAGCATGGTTCGGAGAGCCGCAGAAGCCGCCGCCGGGGTGGTAGAGACCCAGAACGAACTTGCGCGCGGCAGCTCGGTCGGCGGGTGTGAGGAGATGGGGGGCATCCTTGGTCGGCTCGGAGGGGGAGAGTATGTCGAGGGCGGCGAGGATGAAGAAGCTGAGAGCTATGCGCGTGCTGTCGGACGACGTGTACTGGTGCGGGAGGAAGGTCTTGTGGCAGCGTTGCCAGTATCTGATGTGCCTCGCTTTCTCGAGCGGCATGACTGTGTCGGCTGCCATCTTGGCCGTGATGGATTCGAGGATCGCAGTCGGGTGGGAAGAGTGTTGGTGGGGTTTGTTACCTAGCTCCGGGACGTTTGGTCAAGTGAACAAAATCCCCCGATGGTTTGCAGGACCTTTCATCCCACCTCAACCCCCAGGCCAGCATAGGACACAATCAGGAACGGACCCCACCCCCCACCAAAGCTGCACCTTCAGCTTAAGCAGGTTTAGCTCAGCGAGCTGCTGGAAAGAACGACAGCGCTAGCAGGGAGGAGGTCCACTAGAAGACCGCTGAACGGCGCTCAAGCCTCGCCCCGTCTCAATTGATGAGACGAATGAGAAGCTCCAGATCGATAAGCCTCGCAGCCACAGGGTTACCTAGGTACTTCGCTTCGTTTGCTTGCTGATAAGACATGCGCTGGACTGGTGGTCCATTTCTTTTCTTGTCCGACGCGACTGCGCCTACGACTGCGACGTCAATTGTCCCCCCCTCTCTTTCTCAACGAGCTTGCTTCAGTTCCCTCACCTTGATGAATACAGCGCATCGCAAGGAACCGTAATCATGGCGATCATATCAGCGAAAACAATCATTACCTCCCTCTCCCTCTTCCATGTCACCCTCGCATACTTCTTTCTGACGAACCCGGCGACCATCGCAGACCAGGCGATGGTGTACGTGCTGGGCGAGTCGATGGGCATGGCAAGTCTCCAAAGCTTCACTTCATGGTCCATTCGTAACAAGGCCGAGCGCTAACATTTCCTCTTTAGCCCCATGCGCGAAGCTTCGAAAACAGGTCTCCCGCCCTCGCTTTCCTCGCCGCCGTGCTTGGGATACTAGGCATCAGCGACCTCGTTACCCTCAGCATGCCCGAAGAAGTCTGGTTGATCTACCACTGGGGAACACAGGGTAAGCAACATGCTTTTCCTTCTTATGCTGGTAGTTCGAGGCAGTTTCTTACAGCCCAATCATAGCACCAACTCGTATGGTCATGTCCTTCGGTTTTGTCCTCTACACCTTCCTCTTCGGCCCTTCATCCCCCCTTTATGGCGGAACCTCGAAAGGCGGCAGTCGCTTCGCCCATCCCTCCGTCCAGTCGAATAATCCGCGCTATACACCTTCGACTTGGGGCGGTGACGGCCTCAAGAACCGTGTGTTCTTGACCTTTGCCTTCCTCGAGATGTTATGCTGGTTCTGGGTCTGGATGACCCTGCGCGAGGAGCAGGAAGAGTTCCAGCGTAAGAACCAACACAAGAGGAGAGGAAGTCAGTCAGGGTACAACTGAGCGACAGGCTTATCGAGTGTACTAAGCCGTCCGCTGGAGGCATTGAAGGCGTTGCGTTCACCCAACCACGGGAGCGATCAGACGAATATGCTTCCGCGCTACCGGAAGGCCCGGGCCGCTTGCGTGGCCCCTTTAGCATTGCGTGGAGTTTTGGGATGGCAGGCGCTACGAAAAAGGGCATACTCGGCGTAATAATCATTTGATGTGCGACATGACGGTTTTCTATTTTTGGGCTCCCGAGCTTATGAGTGATAGCCTCCTACTCTAGGTAACTTGAAACAAAATAATGAGTTAATATAGGCTACATCATGAATGCAATGAGCCGTCTACTCCCATCGCACCGATTCCCAACCCTTCACGTTCGTCCGCCAGCTGTCGGTCACCCGCTGTGACCAAACACCAACGTGAGAACCTGCCACCTCGCGTATCTGTTTTGACAAGTCGTCCCCAGAATCCGTCTCAAACGTCCAAGAGCCCAGTTTCGCATTCAGCGTGTTGCTTTCCTGCTTCAGGAGAGCCACCCGTGCCTTGCCTTCCGTGAAGGCAGTGCTAGCCGCATTCTCGAGAGCCTTGACTTGCGCCATCACGTCCTTGGGCACGTTACTCTGCCCGGAGCGGTCCCTCTCCTTCTCACGGTCGTTGAAAGTCACTATGTAAGACGTCGCTAGCTTCACGGCGGCGGCAGCGTCGCGAAGAATCGATAGACCGTGGAGTGAGCCCAGCATCATTAGTGTCTTGGACCCTTCTGCATCAGCTGGCGTCGATAGTGCTTGCGCGCGAAGGACCTCCAGGCCAGACTTGATCGCGGACGCAATGCTTGCCAGAAGCTCGGGAGGTGGTGGGCTGCGACTGGCGGAGATGGTGAGGGGGATCAGGGTGATCAGAAGTGAAACGACTTCGTAGTAGGTTTCCTCCTGTTGAGTGAGATTCTTTCCGCGAGTGTGGAGGAATCTGCTGAAGGTGTTGCCCAACCTCTGAAGGGATTCCAGGACGAAGGCCAGCTCTGCCGCGGTCGTCTGCGCAACGTTGGCCACTTTGTAAGACGATGCGGGCTTGAAGGTCATAACCTCAAAGAACTTTTCTGCGGCGAGGGCTAAGTGGGAACGCAGGTTCTGGATGAGACGTTAGAAATGGTACCTAGTACAGTGGAAGGGGACATACCGATGGATCAGGGCCTAGCCGCAGGACGTCGTATATCGGGCGGCCCGAGGCAGCTTCGAAGTTAGGCACAGATCCGTAGTCGATGACTTCGTTCAGCACAGAATTGTCGGTGACTTCCTCTACGAATAATAGTCAGCACGAGGGAACAACGTAGGCAACCAAGTTAGCCTAGCCATGACTTACCAACCGCCGGCTCTTCAAAGATCGAGTCGCTGCGGATATCCAGCGCTCGAGCAGCTTGGGACTCCTCCACATATCCCATCACCAGGGTGCAGCTTGACCTCAGCCGCTCGGTGTAGCTAGGGATATCGAGAATGGCAGTGTAGCTCTCGGCCTCGAAAGCATCAGCCAGCCTTCTAGGCATTCTCAGCTTGAGAGACGCCCGGTAGTGGGATTTCAGTCCCTGCATCAGCCCTCTTTCAGGTCTATTTGGCGGTAGAACTAAAGTGGGCGCAATGGTTGCCAGACGGTCAAAGAAGTAGGGGCCAAGCGAATCAATAATAGTACGCTTCACGTCTGCGGTATCCCACACTTCGCGAGCACGAGAAGCACATCCAAGTACAAGATAGATGCGCACCAGGGCCAACGTGAGTCGGGTGTGCTTTGGTGTTCTGGTGAGCTGGTCTTCGATGATGAGGGCAGCTTGAAGCAAGCGGTCAGGTCTACCGTTCTTCGAAAGAGAGGTAGGGTTGTCGATACCACGCTCGTGCGCGCCGCTCAGCCTCACACAGCATGATGCTGCAAGGATAGCAAGTTCCGGGACACAATCGAGGTGGCCTATTTCAGTAGAGTTGAGGAGAGAGGAGTACAAAGTCAAGGTCGACTCCAGGAGTTTTTTGACGCAGGTGGTGCAGGTAGATGACTTGTTGGTGGTGTTGCAAGTTATACACTTCCAATCATTTGGTTTCTTTACATCCTCATTCGGGACACGAACGAGGGTCTTGGGTGAAGATAGTCCAAGGTACTGCAGCTTGTACGCAAGCGCCTTCACAGATGCTGATCTCGCGGAGTCCTGAGACTCTTCTGACAATTCAATGAGGAATTCGTATGCCAGTGCTTTGATCTCCTGTGGTGGCAACCGCTCGACAAAGCCCCTGACGTCGTCGAAACAGGCGGGCGATTCGCACTCAACCTCAATGTATTGGCGCAATTCCTCGAATTCATTCGATGCGGCATCAGAGCTAGACTGCGTGCTCTTGGGGAAGAGGAAAGCTGCTTCAACCTTGGCCAGACGAACGTTGCGCTTATAGATGGATCGTACACCCTCTTGAGTCAGGAAGCGGTTAATGAGTTCGGAAACCTCGGTCGAAGCCCTGCTACCATCAGCCAAAGTTGTCATCAATCAAAGGTGTCCAACTTACTCTTGGGTCTGTCCTATCTGGCCAGCGGCATTGAGGAATTTCTTCCACACCGCATAGTCACAGGCGAGGAGGCTCAATTTCTGGTTTTCGTCCGTCGTTGACAGGCAGTCCTTGCACAGGTCATAGACAGTTTTCCACTGTCCCTTCCGCTCGAGAACTTCTATCGCTTGTAAAAACAAGTCTTTGCGTCCTTTCCTGAATTGGTAGACAGGGTTGAGGCTTGGGCCCTTCAGAGCCGCCTCCCATTCAGCCGTAGAACCATGAGCCTCGAGAATGCGGTAGAAGAGAAGGATCTCTTCTTCCGTCTTGATGGCTCGGTCGGAGACTTCGCCGTTCTTCTCGGCACCGCTCTATCAGCTAGATTAGCCGCCATCATGAATTACTGCCACCAATCTTACCTGTTCTGCAAATTGCGCGGCACGCTGCATTTGCTTCAGAGCGAGCATGCCATAGAGCTGCTTCTTTCCAGCTGGACATTGCTCATTGGTCTCACACAGAATTAGCGTGCTTCTTGGCGTTGAGAGGGTATCAAGAACTCACTGCTAGCAGATGCGTAATGGCGATGTTCCAGAAAAGGAAGCTCCTTTCTTGAGGGAATGACTTGTCGAGCACTGCTGCAATCTGTTTGCCTGCATCAGCATCTTCAATCCTCCATGGGCTCAGGACAGAGATGAACTCACTTGCTGCGCGCTAACCAGATCCCAGTGTAGCAGACATGACTCCAAGCATCTCGTTCCACCATTTTTGTCCTTGGGCTTGGCTTTTACGTAGCGCAACTTCAGGGGGCCAAAGGTCTCGGAAAAGTCGCGGTCCTCAATGAACTCCTCTGAAGCCCACTCAAGCAACTCCAAAGTGTCAGGATCTCTCACGGCAGTCGGATCCTGAACCAGCTTGCGGATAGCAATGAAGGGCGATGCCTTCTCCAACGGTGAGTCCAACTGACTCTCTGCGCATATTTTCACAGCCTGAATGATGTGGTTAGTTCTATTTTAGGGTTCACATTTGGCGGTGAGGTGAGAGCAAACCTCAAAATAAGGATCCTTGAAGGTCCGGAATCGCTGCTCCGCGAGACGGATGGCGTTGGCCCATTGTCCGTCATTGAAAGCCGACTGCAGCTGCAGATCGGTGCCGCTCCTCAGCTGAGGCCGGTTCCAGGACATGGTGATGCTTCTGATCGGATGGCGGGGCAGAATTAGCTTGGAGGGGCACTGTGCTGTAAGAGTGCAGCAGGAGCTTGTGAGACGTTTAGGGATGGGCATTGTGTTGCTTGATTGGTTGCTCGGGTAAATACTCTTCCCGAAATGCCGACCCCCCACGTTTGGGGTTCCGGCGCCGTTGGCCGGCCGCGTTCCTCCCGAGAGCCCGACGCCGATCCGACCGACGTTGCCGATTAACCTCCAAGCCCGGATCGGGGCTGGCTATGGTTTCTAGTGAGACATGTCGACTACTGGATGGGACACATAATCTATCATCAAACGAGGCGCATCTTCCGCACGTTGTCGAGCATGCAGTAACTAAGTCTCTACAGGGCACTACCTGGACTTGGATACCTTAGCCTGCAGACACATGGCAGATTTGGTCTAAGGGTAGCCATCGAGACACAAAGAGAAGAGCTGGTATCTATCTTGAAACATGACCGAATTACTCATACACATGAATACTCCTTTCCATGCATGCATGTTGTTTTACAAAATGTACAATGTCGTATCTTCTTGCACCCGCAAAAAGTTCGTCGACTAGATTCGGTTCGGATCGTCTCGGTATCATATCGGCATTGGCGAACGTCGTTTACACCCATTCACATCACCACCAAGCACCCTGCGCCTTTCGGTCTGCCTTGAGCTTGTCGAACTGCTATAGAATTAGGGCCTGAGAATACGGCTAGCTGCGCCAACGGAGTGAGGAGGGAAGGTAGCGTACCCAAGCCTTCTTGCAATCTCGGTATGCTCTGGGATATCAAGTCAGTCCAGTATTCTCGCGCAGCTCAGAAGGCGGCCAAGAGCCTTGAACAACAGAGAAAAGGTAGCAACTCCCACTTACTGAAAGTAATCTCCGCACATGGCCCTGTCTCCCCCATTCCGGTGCAGGCATTTAATGCTCTTCTGCGCAAGCTCTTGACAAGGATCAAAGTACTCGCTCTTCGCCTTCCTACGCAATATGTTTGAGCGATTGTCACGAGGTTGAACGTGACACGCAGGCCGGCCTACCCTTCAAACTTGGCCTTGCTCTCGGTGTAGGTCTCGTCGACCTTTTCGGGTGCGGCCGTCGCAGGCTTCTGAGGTTCCGACATTTTGATAGAAGGTATTCTTTCGAATTCCGCAGGATTTTCGGGGCGTGATATTCGGTTATTTTCGGTCAATTCGTGGAACAATTGAAGGTGCGATGCGCCGGGAATTGGTGTTGGCGGTACGCGACGAACATTTGCGTCGGTGACGTTACGATTGGAGAAGGTTCTGGTTGCGATAAGATAAGAGCTGTTTTGTGCCTGGCGACCTGGGGTTCTATTTTAAGGCATCTATGATGACCTTCCTTCAATCGCTCATTCGCTGACTAAGGCAAGAATAAGTGAATATCCCCCCGGCTGCCAAGAAGAAGAAACGGAAAAAAAGCCTAAGTGCAACGAGCAGCAGAATGCGATTTGAAGCGAGCACAGGGCAATGCCCAGCAGCGAGGGAACCTTAAGATCCGCTTCTATGATTGACTGCCCAGTGTCCACGCACCGGCTCATTTTTGCCGTCGACAAATACTGCGTTAAAGGGTGGGAATCCGGCAACGCCTGCCGTGCCTGGCCGATTTTGCCGACAAACAGAGGTCTTTCCTCAATAGAGTTCAAGGTTTTCTATAACTCTATCGTTAAGGTATCCGTAAACCGCTTTTCTGGATAACAAGTGGTGCTCTGGTGCATGGTGTTTATTTTGACCACATTCGTCCCTCTTTTTCCACGTCGACAATAGTACGTGTCCACGATGCTTCTTTGTTGATAATCCACCTGCATCCATCCTCCTATCTCTCTTTCCCCCTCTTATTACGCCATTTTGTACACAGACACACGGAATAGGGACAGAGCTGCCAATATCCCCCCTTTTTGGTCTTTTTTTCTCCCTGGTTGGACACCACCGCGCTGCCCATACGTCCACTCCCAAGTTCCACCTCCCACCGGCACCCACCGGCACGAGAGATACACCTTGTTTATTTGTCGCTGCCAAGAACCGTCATGTGGAGGGCAACTGTAAGAGAGACACACCGTTGCTTTTGAGAGCCACACCAATCGCCAATCTAACACAAGCTCGGCTCAGAAGCGCTGTCAGGTCCCGTGTCTTAGTCCGGCACGAAGCTTGACTGACACAGTGACACTGCGTTTTTGGCTGACTGAAGAGTTTTGGAAACTTATTAATGCCTTACACTTCCACCTCACTTCGAACCTGGAAGGCATACGAAAGTCTTGGTACGGGTATGAGTGCGTCGCGTGTAAAGGACTGCCGCGACTCCCCGTCCTACGGATCCCGCGGATGATGTTTTCCTTATTCAGCAGAACCGGGGCCTGGACTCTTTCCGAGCTTCCAAAGTTCCCACAATCACAACTCATACCTTACTCACCTCGGCCGCCCCCTATTAACTCACACCGCAAAGAATTGAGCGGTGGACGGGAGAAAATTGCAGACGGGACGCAAATACTCCGATGCCTACCGCAGGCCACTCAATAAACCTGCACCGCCGCAGTCCTGCTAGCAGGCATCACCACCAACATCGGGCGGATCTGCCAGGTTCTTGCGAAATGAGTTTGCCATGCCCCCCGAGTTGGCCCGTCTCCCGAACCCAGCATGGTTTTCTTCTACACTACTTGTACTCAATCTCCACCGCCACATGCCTAAATGGACACTGGTCTCTTCATACCAGCCTGGGAGGAATTGGCCCCTTTGTATCGAGTTTGCTCTTCAGTCGAGTAGCAAAACCCCCCACAGTTTCCTTCTATCGCTTCGACGAATCTTTCTTGTATGAAGTATGTTGGCCCGTATGTTTAATTCTTCGACGGCCACTGGCACCAGGAACCCGAACAGGGAAACAGGCGAGTGTGATTCTCGCCGCTTAGCTCGCCGTAGCGGCTAGACTATCCAACGGCCAGCCCTCTTGACTGGACCCCCAGCACAATGTAGACACCTCAGAGTCGCAATGATGTTCTGTGGCCCGCAGCAAGATCATGCAACATACGATCGTTGAACCATACATGCCATCATCATCACAGTATTTTTCAACCTCCACTCCCCGTCCCTCATCCACAGACACAATACAATTCGTCCAATCCCCGAGTCAAGTGGCTAAAGCTCATGCCTTATGGCTCGGAAGTTGGTGGTGGGACCAACTTACCAAGAGACCGGCCTCACGGTTCGTCTCAGATCAGGTTGGCTTCTCAGCTCGGTTCAACAAAGGCTCCCGGAGCCCCAGCCAGCTTCCCAGGACTGGTCCCTAAATTGATTGACGTGCATGTCCGGGTCCGGCTCCGACACAATTTTCACGCCATCATCTCCGCTGCTTTCTCTCTTGCTCTCTCCTATTCTCTCGATCTCCCAATGATCCCTTTCTCTTGTCTGTGCCACTCTCCCCACCCATTCCCCAGGTCTTGATTTTTGCTTCAACCATCACACTCTTATGTACGGAGTACCTATCTCTTGGAGATCGCGCTTTGGGTACCCTTACCGTGGCGGGCGAGCTGCCCTTGCGAATGATTCTGCCATTATTCCGTATCCAATTCTCATCAGCCCTTTTAATTCCATACTGGAGGTATCTGGCAAGCAGGTCAAATTCCAGATCTAGCCTCTCAAGACTGGTCCAATGCTATTCGACGTAGCACTCTGAGGCTCTGAGGATTATAGCCAACTTGTGATGGCCGATGCTAGCGCCGCGTCGTGCATCAACGACCTGAAACTGGGCGATTAACTGCTTCCTTTTGCATTCTACTTTATTAATGCCACCTCCCCACTGCTCCCCAAGAAGCCTGATTACAGAGTTGACAAGCCGTCAAGTGGCTCCAAAGTCCACCAGTAGGCAGTTAGCCACCAACGAGAAAGTCTCCATTTCTTCGACCATGTTTCTCAAGCGAGTGCTTGACCAGCTTGGGAATGATGGCCCTTCGAGGGTGCCCCTGTCGGAGACCTGGAGGGGGTGTGGCCACTCGACCGGGTCTTCCAGTCGCTCCAACCCCGGGAATCAAGGCCCAAGAAGGTTGTTTGGGTTAGCCGCGCCGCTGCAAGGGGCCTCGTCACGGTCCACTACCACCCTGTTTGCATGTTTCACGACCCCATCCTCACTTTAATCGCAACGGCTTCATTAATGAATCCATCCTCGGTTGCGGCCGAATAGCAGGGCTTGACAGGGCCTGGCGGGATCCAACACGTTATCCACGGGCAGAACACCCCACGGACCCATTAGCCTCATCTCATTCTCTACGTCTTGCAGCGTTCCTGCAGCTCTTGGCAGGAGAGGAGGATGAGACGAAAGACTCCATCGAAGTATACGCACTGCCAGGGCAAACCCCTGCCCTCCACGAGTCCACATCAACACTTTGTATTGCGGACTACTGTGTAAGACCACTTGGAGTGGTCAGGGGCCCTAGCAGGCTGTCTTGCTGGGCAACTGACGGAATCGCCAGCTCTAGCCGCGCGATGAGAGGGGCGAGATGCAATCCTAGATTGGCTGCCTACCTCGACTTAGTGCGGTTAGATGGGCCTGGGTCGGAGATGGGCATAGATGATTCGAGATTGAAGCAGGAAAGAAGGGCTACTGGTCTACCCTACGGCTCGGGAGATGTTGTGGATGGGGCTCTAATTACATACAACCGTAGCAGCATAGACACGTCTTATAAAAGTCCCTCGTCCTGCTTCAGGACACCATCTTGTTGTTCTCCTCCTTCTTCATCATCACATCGGTGTCATTCTTTCCCTGTACTCAAGTCTCTCTCTTGTTGGCTGTGCCATACACTCATTTACGAACTAGACGTTCGCCCACGCTCACTAAGCACAACCTCAGTAACACTTTCACTTCAAATCCAACCACTTTTCAACCGAAAACTCCCCCCATCACCATCAAGATGCAGTTCTCATTCACCGCCGCGGCTCTTGCCACCCTCGTCGGCTACTCTGCCGCCCACACCCTCACCATTGACGTCTGGGTCAACGGTGCCGACCAGGGCGATGGCCGTTCCACCGGCACCGGTACCACCAAGTACATCCGTTCCCCCGATAACAACAACCCCGTCAAGGACATCACCAGCGACGCCATTGTCTGCAACGTCAACGGTGCCAAGGCCCAGACTGGCTTCGTCAAGGCCGCTGCCGGTGACGAGTTCAAGTTCGAGTGGTACCACAACAGCCGTGGTGACGACATCATCGACCTCTCCCACAAGGGTCCCATCAGCACCTGGATCGCCCCCTACACCGAGGGCAGCGGTGCCGAGGCCATCTGGACCAAGATCCAGGAGTCTACCTACGAGGGCGGCAAGTGGGCTGTTGAGACTCTTGTTGCCAACAAGGGTATGTCTCCCTCAGTCACCATTCCTTCTACCCTGAAGGCTGGCAAGTACCTCGTCCGCCAGGAGATCATTGCCCACCACGAGTCCGACACCACCTACGATGTCAACCCTGCCCGCGGTGCTCAGTTCTACCCCGCCTGCGCTCAGTTCGAGATCACTGGTACCGGCTCCGATGTTCCTCCCCAGAACTTCGACTTCACCACCGGCTACAAGTACACCGACGCCGGCATCCACTTCAACCTCTACAGCGCCGATGCCTCCACCTACAAGGCTCCCGGCCCTGAGGTCTGGACCGGCGGCTCCGGCTCCGGCTCTGGCTCTTCCCCCGCCTCCTCTGCCGCTCCCGCTGCTTCTTCCACCGCCGCCGCCGCCGCCACCTCCGCTGCTGCCACCACCACTGCTGCTCCCATCGCCACCTCCGCCGCTGCTGCCAAGCCTACCACCCTCTCCACCGCTGTCAGCTCTGCTGCTCCCGTTGCCAGCTCCAGCTCCGCTGCTGCTCCCGTCGCTACTCCTACCAAGGCCCCCAGTGCCGGCTGCAAGCGCCGCCGCTCCCGCAAGGCCCGCCGCTCTGCTCACTAAATTAGTGTTGCGCAACGAGCCATGGAGAAGAGATAGAGTTGTAAGACTAAGCGGTCATAGATGGTCCTTTCAATCATGATGGTCTCACGAGTCTCAAGTTGGAGTTCTTTTTTATCATAGACACCAGATGTGCAATCCAGGCTTACTGTGTCATGCCCGGTGCACGGTTCTAGAGGCACGAG